TGAAAATTGCTTTTAAAATAAAAAAAATATTTCATTCCAAACGCATTATAGCTGCAATTAATTAAAAATGCATTGCGTGGACTCAAACCTGACTTCACAGAATTAGATTTTAACACAAAAACTGAAAATTGCTTCACTGTGCAACTGAACTGTGTTACATACAGTAGAATAAAGACAGTGCTGCCCTTCTTTTTTCAAATACATTTGCTTCAGCATTTGCTGGGTTTTGGCTACATGGATTTCAGTCTGTCTTTTCCATTACCTGTTTGTATTTTAAATATATTGCTCTAACATTTTGGCACTCACAGAGCCCAATCCATGAGGCTCTCTGTGGGCAGATTACTCCCTCCTACTTCCAGAGACAGTGTGATTGAGCAGCAAAAGTCCTTTTAAAAAATTATTAGAATGCTGCTACAATAATGAAGATAATTTTCACTTCACTTGTTTAGAAGCAAAAATGGCCCCAAAGATATATATATATATAGATATATATTTAAATATACAATCTGTTCTTGCAGTGTTAAATTGTTTTAAAAAACTATCTCAAAAGTTTAAATATTTTTCCATCCCATGCTTGCATGATCACCTAAGATGGAAACATTGATTAAATATTTTTTTTCCTTTCCATTTAAGCAGGTGAATTGGAAGAGTTGTTAACGTTTTTAAAAGCAGCTACTGCTCATGCATAGTTATTTGTGTGCTACGCAGCAGAGAAAGAGTAGGTTATTTCTCCATGCCTTGTGCTGTCTGAGCAGGATTTCAGATTGGCTGACATTGGAAACATTTCTGAGCTGAGCTGTAAGCAATATAGAATGCTTGCTGTGAATAGTTGTGGGAGATTATTCAGCACCACGTTCATGCCAACACTGGGAAAATAACTCCCCAAATTCTCTTCGAAAAGTTACAGCTTAAGGCCACCTCTTGATATTTTGTAGGTTGCAAATCTGACTGAGGACTCATAATCAGGACAACTAGCTTCTTTTCTTCCTGCTTCTTAAAAATGTTTATTAAACTTATGTAGTTACTGAAAGCCATCTTAAACTGTACATTGCTTTCTAGAAAAGGTTTAGTGGAAACCAATTTTAGCCTTGAAAGGTTTTCAGTCCTTTTGGGCTATGGTCTATTTAGAAAATAAACAAATTGGCTATTAAGGAGTTTGCTTGCATCTATCATGCTCAGATGCTTTCTGGAATCAAGAACAAATCAGAACTTGGAAACTGGCGACTTCAGAATTTACTGGGTTTTTTTTAAGTTAGTGTCAGGCCTCAGGAATCAAGCCTTTCTCTTGAAACTATTCAGAAAGCTGGGGATACCCACCAAAGCAAAAGAAATATAAAAGTAGAGCTTTGCCTTTCTGGTATAATCCAAAAGGAGAATAAAATTCAAGCATATACACTAATCCTTCCTCAACTCCCTTCCTCAGATAGCAGAGAAAAGTAGGAAGGATGATGGTAATTAAGAAAAGGGCTTGGTTGTCTTCCACTACATTCTGATTAGCCTAGAGAAGATAACCCTGGCTAGCTGGGACAAGGATTAAGATCAGTTGTGAAATAAAAACTCTCAAGTTAGAAGAGTTTCAAGTAGACAGGTAAAAGTTTTTGCAGCTCTGAATCTGATATGCAGCCATGATCCCATAGGAAAAATCAGTCTTTTAGGGAGTCAACAGTTATTCTAGGGCCTCATTGTAAGTTGCCTATTGTTGAAGGGTCAAAACTGGAAAGGTTCCTGCCTGTTCTTCTCTCCATGTCAGGGGAAAGTCTATTATCTCAACAGAACAATGTTCAAATGAAGAACTGTAGAGTAGTAAGAAAAACTATGATGTTTCATGCTCACAGTACCAGCATTTTCCAGGGTTTTCCACATTATCAATGGCAAAAAAGAGTATTATTTTAGTGTTCAGAATTCTGCTCAGAAAACTAACAGCTAGCTGTCCTTCTTTCAAATGTCTGCTTAGATTACTTTCATATATTTATCAAATGATATTTTCATACAAGACATTACTTAAAAAGCATGGTTCCAGTTATCAACATTTGGCTTTAAAATTCAGGAAGATTTTAACTAAAAAAGGGCAAACCTATGAATAAAATTCCAGTTCCATGAAACATTTTATGGGCAACTCGTGTTGCAAAAACTGGATAATCCTATGTTTGCTTTGCAGGGAATCTTACTAAACTTATTTTCTTTGCAGGGAATCTTACTAAACTTGTTTTCTAATTTTAACTGAATTTGGCTACAAAATATGATAAATGTAATGCATTTGCGGACATCTTATATTGAGAATGATTTGTTACATATTACACAGATTAATTACAGTAGCTAAAAGGGGTTATTAATACGTCTAGTCATAAAAGTTTCTGTATCACTGCTTAATTTAAATTATATTGCTTATTGCATGACTTTGTTCATAGTAGCAGCCAAGAACAATGAAAGTTCTTGGCTGAAAGTTCTGAACTTCATCTGTTCCTGCTAGTAAAAGACATTCCAGATATAAGTTGCCACTAAATATACTGATGGATACAGACAAAAGAAACATTAATGTGCCATCCTAATCCTTTCTGGCCATTAGCACCGAAGTTAGAATTGTTCCAATTTCTTTTAAGAAGTCTTCTCTTCTATCCTCTGAATGACATCAGTACTTTCTTCTGTGTGTTAAGTAGAAATAGGAACTTCTAAGTATCTTAAACATTTCACTAAAGTAGAATGATAGAAACCCATGACTATTAAATAACATACAATCAATGAAGGTTTGTCATGTCAATGTGGCCCAACTTAATTATATCTCTTTCTGCAATACTTTGCTCATCACGTATCTGGGGAAAGTACTTTACTTTTGAAAATGCAGCAGAAGCTGTTCCCATGTCACCCACAGATTTTAAGATAGGTGATTTAAGTATTTATATATGCAATATAAATCTCCATGTATACTTAGATTCCAGTTGAGGGACATTTAATTGCATATAAGGTGAGAATTCTGTCAGTGGGGAGGGGGGAGAGAGCAAGAAAGGGAGAGAGGGGGGAGAGGGAGGGGGAAAACATATACCCAAAAGATAGTTAAATAGACAAAAATTGCCAATTACTACCTGCATTAAAAACACTCTTAATGCACACACACATACACACAACCCTGTTGGGTAACTTGAAGCTTTCCAGGGCTACAAAGCATGGTATAAACCTAGGAAAAATGAAGCGTTATATATTTGAGTTATTTTGATTAACAAGGTTGCCCATCACCTTGCAAAATAATATATGCCTATTCACAACATGTGCTAAGGCTTTTCATGTGCTCTTAATGAAAGGGACATGTTCAGTAAGCATTGGGATTTATTAATATCAGTGCTCTAGGAGAGACATAATGCTGATCCTCCCTCTGGCCACCACAGGCAAAAAACCCTTCTGTCTTAAAAATTGGCAGCAATAGTGTAAGCTTTAAAAAAAAAAGTACTCTAAAATATCCAGTAGCTTTGCCTGAGTGAAACATAATAGGAAGAAAGGAGTTCTGACTAATCCTGAGAGTTAATTATCAGACTGCAGTACTCAAGTCTAAAAATTCAAGATGTAGAGGAAATATGCACACAGAAACAGGGAGAAAATGATCTCCCAAATCCACATGGTTTAATTTTATCACTGAGATTGTGAGGCCTTTTATAAGCAATTAAATATCCAAGCATTTGAAAAAAAGTAGGAAAATCAAAAGAAAAGATCAGTTTAAATAATAGCCATAATCTGAAAAGAACAGTCAATTTGTGCACATAATTTTTTTTTTTAAAAACCGTAACTATAATCATAAGAAAAACAGACTGGAAATTGAAACCTAGAGCATAAAACAAACACATTTCAGTTCGTTATCTCAGCATCAGTTGACAAGGAGAAGTGTGATAAAATCCACTTTAATTCAGAATCCCTTTGGAGAAAATAAATCAGCACATAAACTCATCCTGATGCTTTTCAGTGTGCAGTCTCTTTTGTTTTTAGGATGATGCTATCTGGAATCGGAATTTATTTTCCAATAAATGAAAACAAAAGTCTGTGTCATTTGTTGGAATTTGGAACCACTATAATCCATCATATAAAATATCATATTAAGCTGATTCATTGGATCATCTGTGGAATACTTGAATAAAGGGTAATCTATCCCAGAAATATGGTACATACTGGATATATATCTGACTCAAGACAGTTTTGATTTTCTTAAATTTAGGCTGCCAATTATATCTCAAACACATAGCAGATTGAATCAAAAAGGATAGGGAGGGTGAGAGAGAATGAGAAAACCAGAAAATGAACTGTAATAGCTTGTTTTAAATGTTTAACTTATTTTTTCAGTTTATCTGCTGAGTCCCCATGAAAAAAGGCTATTTAATTGAAATCTCATTCTGAAATATTTGGGTTCCCTTATGTTCTGGAAGCACCATGGAAGTATATACAGTAAATAGGAAGTGTTCTATATGTGTGAGATTTTCTCTCTCCCATAAAATTAGTTTAACTTTAAATGAACTTATAGGTCTGTATATAAATATGCCTCAATCAGCCCAGGATTAGGCTTTCCAGGCACATTTCATAAGGATTTTCAATCTAGGACTGAAAACACTGAACCTAGTGTTTGAGAATGGGTATGCCTGAAAAGAGATGGAAGAGAGTGGAAAGTTAATACATCTTGTAGCACTATTGAGGACTGTAGTCATGCGCAAAACCCACTTAGCCAGTGGCAACAAAAACACCCAAAATAACAAACACCTTATTGTTTTCCCTGTAGTGGTTGAAGCAAGAAAATCCTTTCTACCAATTTCCAAGTCATGTGGTCATTGAAATGTCTCCCAGTGACCAGACACTTGAACAAGGCATTGATTAGTTACCAGTAATAAGCTAATTAATTGTGCCTTTCCCTCACTGATTTCACAAGGATCTCAGGCTTTCTGTCTCAGGTTACACAGACTTTTGACATCCTAGTAAATGCCAATGGTGGTGTAATGCGAGGCTTAATTAGCTGGATCTTTCTTGGCGGGAACATTCCTGGCACCAGTAACTTATGAACTAATCTTTAGTAGAAGTTCAATACTAATTAAATAGAAATTGTAAGGTCTCCTTAACAGAGTTCCCTAAGCTGAAACAAAAATGCTGTATTCACAGTAGGGTTTTCAGTTTTACACAGTACAAGACTTGTCAGTAGACTGTTGAGAAGCTGAGGCAACTGCAGCGCTTGAGGAATTTGTTTTGGGGAAAACTGCTGGCTTTGGCCTGGTGGCTGGAGGTTTGACCTGGACAGCCATTTTGACAGATTTTGCTGGCCTGAAGGCACAGGGAATGTCGCTTGCCGTGCTGGCACTCCGCTGAAAGGCTGGTTCTGGGTCCTTGAGGATTTGAGTATGCAAAGGGCTGGAAGGCTCAGAGGTGGGTGCAACTACAGGGGACATTTTCAGTGGCTCCAGCGTATCAAGAACAACATCTGGTGTGTGTTTCACATTGCTTTGCCTTTCCAGCTCTCGCAACTCATTCAGAGCAGAATTCATAGTAGCTTCAATATCCTGGAAAAAAAAGTTGGATATGACTATTAGAAGCTGGGTTGATCAATTATCTATAGTGAATAAGAAATATGAAGCAAAATGGACAGTGGTAGACTCAAAGGCATGGAAGGACTCGGAGCCAAAATTGATCTCCTTGGCAAGACTAGTATCATCCTTGCCTTGAAACTAGAAAACTGTTAATAATATCTAAAAACCTGTTCCTAGCGTTTTAGACAGCTTAGTTGGCTATGCAAGTTTTCATATAATTTATATGTGAGCTGTAGCTATTTTCTCTGAACTTCATCAACATTCGCCGTCTCATTTTTTTTAATCCTTGAAACTAAAGCTCAGAAAATCAGTTATTCTGATTCTAAAGGATGATGATTTTTAAATGGAAGCTTTTTTTAAAAAAAAAAAGCTCGATTGGTAAAACTACTGCAGCAGATAATCTTGAGCAGATTATAACAGAAGTCAGAAGAGCATACTGATCTATATTTTCCTCAAATCTGTTTCCTCAATCTATGAAACAGGAGAAATTACCCACATTTTGAGTATTTTTTATCCATTCCTTTGGTATACCAAGCTGAACCTTGAGAGTGGTGAGATTCCTGAAAAGAATGGAAACATGCTTAGCTGCATGCTAGCTTCATGGTTAATGAGTGGTATTCCACTTTGCATCTGGAGCGTGGCATATCTCAGCATCTCCTCATTGATGCTACATATTTTATGGTATTTTAAACATCCATAAGCTCTGGAGATGTATGAAAAATGTTGCTCATATGACACTTGTTTCTTTATGTGGATAATGCAAGAGACAAGTAGGGAAATGTGTCAGGCCAATCTCTTGTTTCATTTTTAAGTCTAAAAATTTACTTAGCATTTCAGCTATAGATGTGAGCTTCATTGGCATAATAAATTTTTGGACAGCTGAAATGATTTAACATTTCCATGACTCACACTTTGGCTACAACATTTAAGTTTCCTCATAGATATTTTAAAAGGCACTCGGGAAGGTAAATCAGTCCAGGAGGAGAAAGAGGAGGAAGCAAAGACAGTAACCCAATGCCTTTGACTTCAGTCTGAAAAGATTTTTAAAGCAAAATACAGATCTCTGAGAGATAGTGGTGTCAGATGAAAGATGAGTATCTTGCAGAGTTTGAAATCAGACCTGGGAGGATATGAAAGGGCAGTTATAATTTAATGTAACCCTTTTTAGTTTTATTGATCAGATTCCCTTATGGAAACAATGAATTACATTTTGGCAGAAAGAGAATAAAAGCAGGTTTTAATTGAAAGCAAAAAGATATAAGCCATTACAAACTTTGTAAATAGATATCAAAGCAATGATATCCAAGTAAATGGCAAGGATAAAACACATTAGTGAAGAAGAGAACCATAACAGGTATTACCAAATAGACTACAAAACAGGAAATATAGACTCTTGTCCAGGTTGGTAAAAAACCAGCCATAACATCTACCTATTTTTGGGACAACATCATAGAATCGGAAATGATGTTAATATTAATGTAAGCCTATAATTACATGTTTTTGAAATAAGTAACATAAGAATACATGATTAGTATAATGTTATATCCCACTGGTCATCTGTTTATATCTTTTGCATTTCAACATAACTGGATAAGAATAACAAGTAAGACCTTCTTATATTTAGATTCTATCCCTCGAGAATGGCACAAGACTCTACTTGCATCTAGCTGATCTCAAAAAAAAAAAAAAAAAGCTAAGTAAGGTCAGAACTGGTTAGCACCTGGATGCGAGACCTCAAGGAAAGCCCATAGATGTTGGCCATATTGGGAAGTTGGGAAAACATCCTGAAAGAATGGTAAGCCACTTTTATACTGTTGCAAAGAAATTATATGAATATCCTTCAGAATTTGCTTGAAGCTACAAAATTAGGCAGGAAAAACAATGACATGAATTAGCTACAGAAGGAGTTAAAGGCTACAGCTTAGCCAATTAAATATAAGAACTGCTACCATCCTAAAACCTTCTTTTCTATGTGCTGCTATTTAGAATATAAGAACACTATGACTTTCCCCCTCAATTCCAGTATAATTTCAGTTTTGGAATGCCTTGCTTTGTACTACAATATTCTCAGTTTTTTACAGACCTATCACATATTGGAAAAGGAAAAACTGGCCAAAACTGAAGAAGAAACAATAGTAAAAACCTATTGTCTATGTGTAGTACACTGTTGTTGATGGATACTGGGAGGTTTTTTTAAAAAATTCCATCTGCTTTAGTATGGCTTATTTCTAATGTCTTTAAAATGTGGGCAGAGCTGCTAAAAAGAACTAATCAAACAAAATTGAATACAAGGCCCTCCTGCTGAACTTAAGATTTTAAAGCATATTTATATTGGCTTGTATCTCATGCTGGACTACTTTAACCAGAATGCCGGACTATCGACCTTTTAATGAAAGCAATACATCAACAGTGAAGAGAAGGAGAGCCCCATGTTTGTGCATGTTTTAAGGCAGGCTTCACCATTCAGCTTGGGAGAAAGTTCCAGCTAAGAGACAAGATATTTTCCTGTGTGGGCTTGGTTTAAATGTCTCAGCATCCATATCCGGTCACAGCTGTGTATACACACATGCAGGGAATACCAGCCCATATTTCTGCCAACAGAAACAAAGAGAGCCACTTTGTTCAAAGGATAGCTTCTTATCACAGACAGACACTGAGAAACACAAAAAAAGAATTAGAAAAGTCCTAAAAAACAAGGCAGGTGGCTGTTCTTCTTGATGTCTTCTCCTGTGTCTCTTCAACATCTAACCAGTTAAGGACACACAGAATTGACTACAGTTTGAAAACAATGACAAAGAAAGCCCTATTTTTCTAACATTTTGTGCTCAAGAGATTAAAATGCTGTTGGTAGAAAAGATGCTGGAATCTTAAAAAGCATCTTTTTTTAGGAAGTGGCTCAGATTCCATAAGGTTCTTGCAAATATTTTCCCAGATGATTTATGAGAAGTAAAATGACATAGTAAAGCTTTATGAATAATAACTGTGGTCAGAAAGCCACAGATTGAAGAAATAAATCGAATCTTAATTCAGATAGCTATTCTACAAAATAAGAGGAACTTATTTTGAGTGATTATGATGCTAATATGGATTTTGTTTCCTTTCTGTTGGTCTTATTAGGACTTCTCTTTATTAGCTGCAGAAAACTAAAGAAAGGATGTAAAAAATTTCAGATCTATTTACATATAAGGTAGATTATATAAGATGTGATAAGAGATGGTCTTTGATTATATAGGTTAAAATCCAATTAGCAAACATACGCTATGTAAACATAAGATTTTCTGAATCTGTTTATAGGTAACTACAATTCCATGCTGTCAAATGTTTGAGCGATATAAGGAGAAAGAACTGATTTTCTATTTATTGGTGCTACTTTAGTTAAAGGGAACATGAAAATCTGGCCAGTTCCCTCAATAGTATTGACTATGAAAACTTTTTCTGTTATATTACATATAACAGAGAACATATTTTTAGCATTTGGGTTCACCTCCAGAAACAAAATAAGCTTCTCCCAAAGTTTAGGGAGTTACAAAGTTCTCAATAAAATATGTATGTCTGTATTTAATGGAGATGCTTTTCAATACAGGATATGGGTTTTTTCCAGTCTCCTTGAATCTGTGAATATTGATCCTACACAGACAAAATGTAGTAATTGTTTCATGCTTTTGGGACTGATTAAACATGCAGCAATCACAAACTGAGCTGATGTTTTAGAAGTGAAAAACAGACTTTCAATTTTTTAAAAAAATTGTAAAATATTCAGATTTGAATTTGAAATTCAAAATCAAAGGTTACCTCATAATTCAAAACTTGACTTGTTTTGATCACCTCTAAGGGGACGTTTCCTGATCTGAAGCAAATACTGAAGCAAAATATACATTATTGACATCAAATAACACTTGTTGCCCACATCAAAATATTCAGAGAATATCTGGAAAATATTTTGAGTATTCTATGAATGTAATGGATATCAACATCAAACTCACGAAAGAGATTTTTAAATGATTGCAGGAGATGAAAGAATCAATTTGGTACCCTTTGAAGGTTACCCTGGCCTAGAATTTCATTACCTGTGCAATGACTTCAGGATCCATGGGCCGGTGGTTGTTAAAGCTCTTTGATCTTCCTGCAGTCACATTCTTCCGGATATGGGGGCTATCTATCCTGTTCTTCAGGGAGGCATGCCTACTGAGAGAATTGAGACTCCCATGGCCACTGATGGAGCATGCATCTGGGACTGGTGCATCCTTTGGGAGGCTTTGGCTCATAATGGGCTGTGAGGAAGGACGAGCGCTGGCTATAGCTCCAGGTGGTGTGGGTTCCCCCAGTGAGCTGGGTAATCCATGGCTGTCACTCTGACGGAATGCTCTTCGTATACTCCCTGACTCGGGCTTCTTTCTTTGTCTGTCATTATAAAAGCAACACAAAAACATATTTTTCAAACAACATGGATAGAAATAACTTCTGGACAAAGGAAATTTCAGAAAGGAAAGAAAGTTGCTCAATAAGCATTCTGCAGAAACAACTACTTTAATTGCTAATACTAATTGTAACATCCAGCCAGTGTGTGTATTAATTAGAATGGAATATGAACTAAAGTAGCTGGGGCCACTGGCACCGGCTATTGGCAGTAATATATAGAGGTCAAGGATTCTTAAAATGTTAAATTAGTTTTTCACCACTGCGTTTGGCGTGTGATTTAGAATCTGCAAGCTTCCCTTCTTTGAACTAAGGAGGAGGAAAAAAGTAATTATACATTTTGCTCTGATTTCTTTGAAATGATGAAGTTACAAATGAGTAGCATTATAATTGTAGTAATTATTTATAAACAAAATGTGGATTTCAACAGCAGATTTCAGCATTTGTGGCAATTTAAAGTATTCATCTCAGTAGAATACCTTGACGACAAATGCTGAAATAACAAATGGGCAAAAGATAAATTAAGATTCCTTCAAGATCTGAATGTGATGCTCCATCAGCTCAACATATCAAGGCAGTTCAGGAATTCTTCAGTTTTTAAAAACATCGTATGAAGAAGATGGATATTCACAAGATGAGAATGGATTATGTCAAAAGCATGTGTAAGTATTTAAATTTCCAATTGTTCAGACTTTGGAACTTTCCATTTTGAGAGTGAAATAGCTGTTCTGAGTGTAAAAAGAAAAGATTTCACGGTTGTTGAAATATTTTAAATTCAAAACAGTTCCATTCTTAGTTCAAACACTTTTTTCCCATTCAATACATTTCTGGAATGCTTTCAGAATCTTTGCATTTCAAACACCTGTTTCACATTCAAATTCGGGCATTTCAAAATGGATGGAGTATATTTCACTCGCAGAACAGGTTGAATGTGCAACTTTTGCAGATCCATATTGTGTTGCATGTAGTAACAAACAGAAACTTTATCTAATCAAAACTTATTTTTATATTTTGGTATTTAAATAAAAAGCAATACTAGATACGAACTGCTATAGCATATAATCATGTGAACTGCGCTAAAGAGATCTCTTCCCTATGCGGAGCCCTTATAATAAATCAAAGATTTTATTTCTGTGCATGTGAGTTTACAAAAGCTAACCCTGGGAAAGTTATTTAAATGGAAATCAAAGAACACAGGCCATTAAGAAAATAATGTGATTCTTTCTTTGACCGTGATGGGAGATAGTGAGAACACAGAATAAAGCAAGTGGCATAGTAAATTTTCCAGTGCTAAAAAGTGAACCCTAAGTACTTGAAAAATTAACTCTGATCAACATTATAGATTTGGAGATCATAATAGTACCTGATTATTTTCACTTCACAAGAAATAGTACTTTCTTCCTAACCAATGGACCATTTTTATGCTATAAAGAAATGCTGATATAGCTTACTTATTGATATTTGCAAGATAAATATCAGCTACATGGCTGCCGCTTGGACAATTTGAACCAGCTCTGGCTGTCACTTTTTCTTCAGGTGGCTCAGAATTTATTTCTACTTCAGATTTTGGGCTTGATCTTTCAGACATCCCATCCTCACTAGGAAAGAAAGAAAGAACATACAGCAACTCTATGTTATATCCTGAAGCTGCACTATTAGAATATAAAACATAGGTGCCACAGACATTTTTTCAACACAATTCTTTTGCTTCCCATTATATTATCTCCTTTTACTCCCTTGCTTAAAGGGATCCTTCCTTAGAGTAGCCAAAAAGCAGTTTGAAAAACTATCAAGGAAGATTTTATTGATAAATTCAGAAACATAAAACATAGAACCAATGTTCACAAGACTCTACATGAATGAATGAAAAACATTTCAATGAATCATCTTCAAAAATAATGTTAGATTGATTCCTGCACAGCAGTAAGAAATAACATACGTGTCCTGGACAACAATGTACTGATGAGGGATCAAACCATCAATGCCATTGTGACGGCCTTCCCACCAGTCGTCAGAAGCCCGGTGATAAAGCAGGAGGGACGCCCCCTTTTTAAAAGACAGCTCACGTGCGGTTCTGCCCGAGTAGTCAAATTTGGCTATTGCTTCAATGGGTTCACATTCTACAACAAAATGAGAAAATTTGAATTTGTATACAGTATCTGTGTGTGCGCTCACACAAGTTTATGCACAATGTCCTATAGCCTCCAAATAAAGACATTAACAGAAGCACAATTTTATAACCCAGTGACCATTTTATAATCAGCTAGATACCATCAACCTTAAAAAAAGGGAAAGGTAATGTAAATAAGCAAAATTAATATTGGCAGCTAATAGAATGACATCAGATTTTGAGGGCAAGTACAGCAAAGGTAATGCATGTCACCCCTTCTCTCCACTTATTTCAGCAGCTTTCCAGTGTGTCCTTTCCCACAGGCCACCCAATTTCCCAAACTTGGCAGCACCTTCCCTTCCTTCTATTTCCTCAAACGCTGCTTCCACCAATGTGCTGGTCTATGCTTCTTTCTTTATTACAATGATCTAAGGAGTATGGAACAGACTCAGTGTAACAATGGCCCATCTCCCCATAAAAGTCTTGCAGGGTTTCTCTTTCTTTTCTCTTCCTGTGCATTTGCCAATATACTTGGCTTTTCCTCTTCTTACCCTCCTGAACAATTTCTATTCACTACCTGTACCTACAACAAAACACTCCTCATTTTGTTCCATCACATCCAAAATGTCTGTTTTGATTAAGGTGCAAACCATCCCAAAACAGTTGTTCCATGCACAAAACACTGTGCACAAAAGGTTCTGCACATCTTTAACTAAAACACTTATAAATTTAATACCAATGTCCAGTATGTTAAATATTTGTTGCCATCAGATAAAATGTGTGAATCTAAAAATATTTGCTAATTGCCCAATAGCAGTGGAAGGAAAAGAGCTTTATTGCAAAAGGAATATAATGAAATCAATTTCCCTTACAGCTTATTTTTCAGAATTCATAATGCTGTTTTTCAGGTTTTGTGCAATATCCACAATAATGTTCTTCCAAGATGATATTTCAATATTTCATTCCAAATATGAGAAAAAATGGGACTGTGAAGAATCTATCAGACACAACTTACCATCATCACTTGTATGGTGTTCAATAGTTATATCCTGAGTGGCATCTTCTGTGGAGACAGTCTCTCCATGGGGGCTTTCACTGCAGAAAAAGACATGCACAGAAAGTTAAACTTATGGCTGCAATCTTTATTGTAACCACATCATTAAAATGGTATGTGGTACTTCAGGTATCACCTTTTCACCTAACATTATCTTATCTTTACTTAATTCTGGTTTGAAAAGCAATGTTGAATAAAGCTGTATATTATCAAGTACTTCAAACTAAATATGCTCATAGTTGAGGGACTGATCATTTTTCTCTTTGATTTTATTTCTGAATGGGAAAAGAAGCTCCTTCATGACACCAGAGGGTAGAGATGAAATGCTTCAGATAGCAAGAACGTACCCTTTTGTGATATCCTGAAATAAGTGAGGTAGATGATGAAAAATATTATCTACACTAGCAATAATGATCACGTGGATTTGCCTTCGTCTGAGCCAAATCATTGATCCAAGTATCTCAGCATGATCTCTTTTTTATGGCTGGTGGAACAGGTTTTTCTCTATCAATGATGCCTGATAATTTTAAATTTAAATATAAATCTGTGGCATATGAACTCTGTTGGTAAATTTTAACTTCTCTAACATTTTGCTGAAACATGTTTCGAATATGAAATGTTGGAGGCAAGGATCTTCAGTTCAGTATTGCTTTAACTCAGAAAAAAATACTTGTTAACCTAAGGTTCTGATAATCCTATGAGGATCCAACTATTTCAGGGAGTGCTCCCCCATCTCCTCATTGAATTCTTTTGTAGTTAATGGAAGGTGATAGAGAGAGAAAATCAAATGTAGAGGTCCCATGGCAAAATGCCAAGTTCAAGTGGCATTTTGCCAAGTCTAGCTGTCTTACAATGATTTTGCTATATAGTAAATATAGATTTCTTTCTGTAATATCAACATAAGTCCAAGCGCTCAGAAATAATTTGTTATGGAAAGGCAAGTAAATACTTCAATTATGTTGGCTCACCTATCAATCTCTCTCCCCAAAACATAACAATAAAAAAATGTCTGTTTTCAAACCGCCTGGTATGTATGTATGTATGTATGTATGCATGCTGTGTTGTGTTGTATTGTATTGTGTTGTATTGTATTGTACTGTACTGTATTTCATTTTTTAACCACCCATCTCTCTCAGAATAGCTTTCACCTTCTATTTTTCAGCAGGCTATTAAAACAAAAACAAAAACCTAAAGTCCCAAAATCACATGTGAATATAGAGGATGCTTGGTACAAATTTGAAAAAGAGAGAGGTTAAAAGGATAATAGAAGTGTAATAGATGCCATCAGTATGATTCAAGATTCTGTTAGTACTGAGGTAGAAGACCAAATCGGAACCAAAGGCCTTTTTTTCTTCTTCATACTGGGGTGGATTAGATATTATCACAGTCAAAGCTTTGGTGATCAGTGTTTCTCATCCAACTGAGCAGACAAAAGCAGAAGTACTCAAATCTTTTCCAGTACATTCCCTGTCTTAGTACTAAGGCGGAAAAGCAAGCTTGTTGTTAATCAATCATAGATAACAAAGACCAGCCCTTTTCCACTGTGCAATGTCCTGTATTTCTTATGATTGACTCACATGCTGGCATGTGGGTCTTTCTTGGTTAAGCAGTTATGAAGATGGGGAGGCTTAGGCATTCCTCCCACACTTCATTCCAACTCCCTTCTCTTTGTGAAGGAGCTAGTTTGTGTTGTTCTAGTGATGTGCACCAGAAATAGGGGCAGAAGCATGCTATGGTGAATGTCTGTATTTGCAGAGGAAAAGAAAGCAGGACTCTGATATGGGAATGTTTCTGTGTGCTGACACTATTCCTACTCTGGAGCAGATCAACTTTATATTTTACAAGGATAAACAGAAACAAGAATGTGAGAACTGATATTTTCAAAAATCTCAATAAATAGCAGATATAAGTTCATGATCTAGTATCAAAATACGATTTTAATCCTTTATGCAAATGTCAAAATAAAAGTTGTTAAGGTCACTCAGTTCCACGAAGACTGTGTGGTCTAGAATAAGTCCAATACATAGATTAAAAACACATTAAAAACCACATAATTGCCTAGACAATTCCTTTTTTCATTTTTAAAAAAAGCCAAATGGATATAATATCTTAAAGCTCCCCCAATCTTATGCACCAATATCTCCTTTAATCTTTCTAAAATTAAGCTGATTTTCTCTGTTTTTAAGAGGTTTAAAGGGCAAGGCTACTTAGAGTTGATTGACTGGAGTGGTCTCTAAGCCATATAACAATAAAAAAAGGATGGCTTAAGATTTTGCAGTATTTCAGGCACCTATTTTGCCCCTTTGCTGTGGGAATCAAAAATGTTGGTCTCCATACTCTATTTCTGGGTGACTTCACCAATCATGTACCTTGGGAGGTAAAAGCAAAATCAAAAGATACCATCATTATGAATTGATTTTTTCATTAATCAACTTATAGTAATATACTTTCTACTGTACTGTTAGACATTTTTGTTAGCTATTTTTAATAAAAGTGTATTTATTAGTGTTTGTACACACATTTAATAAAATTTAATCGCAATTACTGCATAGAAACTCACAAAATATTAGCTGCCCTCCAAATCTGCACCTTAAATTATATTAGATTATGAATACATAATACATACATAATATGTTTCTATATTTTCCAAGGAAGTAACTGAAATTTCATAATTAATTTTAAATAAAGTATATAATTAAAATGTAATACATGCAGCGGAGAAAAAATTATACTTCAAGTTGACATTTTACTGAAAAATGCTCCCTTTCTCTAAAAATATATTTTCTTTCTTACATGACCATTTATTTATATGCTGATATGGGAGATATGGAAGAATAACAAACAGAAATTACTGTACAAGTGGAAAAATGTGGGTTTTTTTTGTTTAAAGCAAATTTGTTTAGCTATTACCAGACTTCTGCTGCAAAGCTATGAAATCCAAGTAGTGTTGTATTTATGAGGTATCACAGATAAGTGACCAGTTACTAAAGTTGATGATTCTCCAAACTCAATTACTTTGCACACAAGAAATTTCCTGAATTTCTTAATCTTTGAACAAAGAATTGTAGAATGTCTTCATGTGATTAAGCTTCCTTCTAGAAACATAGTAGTCTTTCCTATTATCTTAAAGCTGTGTTGGGTAACTGCACACTTGTATCCTGGTATTATGGACATTGCAACTTCTTCAGAGACTAAACCCACCATTTTCAGAAGATTTTCAGAATCAAAATGTTCAGTACAATTTGTTCTGAAAGTGTTGAGTAAGTGCATAAAGTTGCCATGTTTATGGATATCTGTGCTACCTGGAAAAAATGGCTAAGTGATATTAGTACAACCCTCCAAGTGAAAGAAACTAACGCTATGTAATCTAAAATGCAGGAAAAAAGACAAAACTACAGTGTGAAAAGATCTTTCATAATCAGAGTTAAAATACTGCTTGTGAACTGGCTTAATTTAGCTGCCTATCTTCAATAATTACTTTTTGTGTATCTAGCTTAAGAAGTTTTGATAAAGAATTTGCTCAAACTTTGTATTTTTCACTTAGGGATCATATATAACTGTGCTTTTAATCTTCGGGTAAAATTGGTGGATTTAGCAGGGCCATAATTATGAATTCAGCAAACTACTAATCTGAAAAATCTCTAGAAATACTCCTTGCTGTTCTTTCTGTACTCCTCCCTCGCCTGAGGATTAGACACAAACCTCAGATTCTACACTATTTCTTAATCTTCTTATCATATAGAAAAATAAACACTGAAAATTAGAAGCTCTCTCCTACTTCAAGTAGCATCGAATCTAGTAGTGCCAGCTGGATGCTTTGGTCTACTTAATGATACAGCACATACTATAGAGGCAAAAAAATTAGAGCTCAAAAATGGTAACCCTGCTGTGAGTGCTAATCACTGTATGGTTTAGGGAAGACCAAAGAAATTTAGAATCCACAAACATATCAGCAGCAATATAATTGGAAGGTAGTAGCCTGGGAGTTGGAGAATACATGTTTCATCAGCAAGCAGGGGAGAAGTGAAAGGTTTGTTTTATCTCCTTAAAATAAGCACTCCTGCATTTGGCAGCCAGTAAGTCTCACTGTAAGAAGATGGGTTTTCCTTAAAATTAACTTCATGGTCCCAAGAAGCACATTGCTTCTCAAGAACTCCTTGATCTACTGTTGAAAAAGAGTTATTCAGGGAAAGTTTTGAAAGATCTCTCAATGATTTGGACTTGTGATTCATCCAATTCTGACATATTAAGATTCAGTGCCTCATTTCTCTCTCATAGCTGTTACTTCTTTTGGATAACTGTTACTTCTTTTTTTGTGGGGAGCAAACATATTACATCCAAGATCTTACAAATGTAAATTAAGCAGAACATAAACCATGGAGAATAATGGAAATTAAATTGCCTTTGAAACTACCAATTAGAGAGACTCAGCTTGCAAAAAACACACAAAAATATTAAATATTTTATATTGGCCTCCAATTTTTTTTTCCAAAATTGTATTTTATTTTCTTAAAATAGTATATACAGGTAAATGTCAAGCCAGAAAGAACATTACAACTAAGCAAATGTATTTACACAACATTTAGAATGTCTTGGCAAACCTCTTTGGAAGATTTAATTCTATTCCAATGCAATGAGAAGTGTCTTCAACTGTCCATGGTTATAGATAATCTATTTACCCATAGGAAAATTTCAAGCCAATTGTTCACAGTAGGTGCTTCTGTTTCTTTTACTGTTTATCATAATTTAGAAGCTTTGTTAAAACTTGAACAGCTGAAGCAGTAGAAACCCATTTTCTAGGGCTTGTTCCCCTGCTGAGGATGCATGGTGTCCTACAGGTTCCAAATAAAGACATTACCAGAAGCTCATTTTTATAGCTCTGTGACCATTTTATAATCAACTTAGGGACATTAATCTTTAAACAAAGGGAAAGGCAATATAAAGAAAATTAAGACTGGCAGCTAATAAGAGTGGCTTCAGCTTATAGAAAATGTGAAAATAAAATTTTTGGCTGTCTTGGGATGGTACTTCAGAAAAAGAAAAGTGAAACCAACCTAAATGATTGCCCAAAGGTGCAACTAAATCAATTGGGGGGAATCATTTTTAACAGTCTTTCTTTCAATGAATGGAGCAAACGAATCCCTTCCTGTTTATAACTTCCTGTATCCCCCTCGGCATCACCAACCCTGATGAAAAAGGTTATTCCCGCTGAACTGTTTGCAAATGTCGGCTTCAGAACGAAGGCACAAACAGGCCTCTTGTGTGTGGTACTAGAGAGAAAAGAAGGCTTTCTCCTTTGTTAATGCTACCCTGAAATTAAGCCATTCTGAGCTTTCTTGGCTCACCTGCTATCAACTTTGCCTTTGAAGGAAAGCTGCTCGAGACATGCTGAGAAAAGTGATGGATGTCAATGATGGATTCAGGCAGTGTGCCGGTACAATATTTCCACAATCTGGCTATGGTAATTACCATAATATCATTAGACAGTTCCATGAACAAAACTGACTGGATTACTTTTCTATAATATAATAATGTGTAATCATGCCAGATAACTTCTGCCACTACAAGAGGTCTATATTTTTAGTGTGGGAAACCTGGTTGCATTTAAGTCTCTCAACTCCAGCCATTTTGTCTTTACACAATACAGATAACAAAAAGAGGATAAATCCTGGAACCAGCACTGAAGTAGCATACTGCTCCCTTCACTTCTCTCCGTTTACATCCTACCGTACCAGTAATCCTCAGTGCTTCCACCCCTGGTGTATACAGGTCCCTCCAGCTCTCTTGGTCCTGGGAAGACATTCTCATGTTGTATGATTATAGTTTTGATGAGCTCATTAACATGAGCTTGGCAGGAGACCTGATCATGGCCTTCAGGCACTGACATCAGTGTGGGTCCAAAGCAGATGGCTAAATTATAGGGGTCCATCATGTTCTCTTCACTGAACTGAGATAAACTGTAGGAAAAAGAGAGAGAAGAGTGGCAATAGGGAACATTATCCCAAACTCCCAGAAGTAGAGTAACTTTCTAAAATGGAAATCCGATCTAAAGTAGCAAGAATGTCTTGAGACTACTTAACTAAAGTTATGCTTGGAATCGACTACATACAGCAGATAAGAGGGAGCTTTTCTGCATTTGATACCTTACAACAAATTTGATTTTCTTTGTATGGATGATGTTTCTCTAGCAGAAGATGTTCAAAACGTTTTCCTACTGGATAGCACATGGATTTCTTTATTTAACAGGAGGAACAATTTTCACTTTATGTTCAATTAACCCAGAGAACATTTGTTAAAAGTATATGTGTGCGGCTGTGTGTAATGAGGGATGGAAGACTCATCATCTAGTTTCATTTTAGTGCAGACTGAACATTATTGCCAGCATTTTTTTGGCATTTGTTCCATGCCCCCTGCCTAGAGAACAGCTGCATCAGCCACACCTCATAAACAGCCAAGAGGCAGATGAAAGTGTGATTGAATATGATGCTGCATGGTTCATAGCACAACACTGTAAAGATTCTAACACACCCCTTTGATTCCCCCCCCCATTTGCATCCATTCTTCACAGCCAAAATATCTTTCTTTTTCAAAGAGAACACTAAAAGCTTCATGCCAATGTTCAACATGGAATGTCAATCATAGGCATTTGAAACATTGGTGTGACACACTGAACATTTCTGAAGATAAACAAAAAAGCTCAGAAGAACAACTTTGCTTTAAAGATTGGGAAAGCTCACCCTTACATTCTCCATACTCCACTACCGTCATTTATAAAATAGTGCTTTCAACTGTGAGGAAAACAGTTCAGTTGCTGATGTTTCACCTTTCAAACTCCAAAGAACAAAGGGAGATGCACTCTTACCCCACACTTAGGCAGCAATCTTTGAGTCTCACTTGAAAGCATTTCATAACCTTTCAATAAGAACTGGGTTTGACCACCTGAAATCAGGACTTAGCTGAGAAAAAATTGTTCAGCGTAAAAAAGTATTTTACTTGAATAATTTGTCTTTTGTTTTTAACTGTAACTCTCCCTACAAAACTTGCAGAGGAAGTATGCCATAAATCCAGTACACTACTATTTATTTATCCATAAAAATAAAATAAACTTGGCTAGCTAACAAAATTCAGTATCAAGCACTTGTCCTTCAGCTTCTATCATGCATATTTAACATTTTATAACATTCAAGCTATAACATTCACTCCGTGTCCTTTAATTAGAATATTTGCAGAATATTTAAAGGCAGAATGACAGTGGTTTTTGAAGAACAAAATGATTCTGCCTTCTGAAATTGAGGGGATGGACTCGGACTCAGGTCTTTTTCATGGTGACCCAATCCCTAGGGAATATACTGTCTCAACAACTGTAGGGCCCCCCACATTTCTATCTTTTGATAAAATTAGAAAGATATAGATTTCTAGTGCAGCATTGGAAGCTTGCCACGTAGCTCATTAACTCTATTTTTTTTATCTTGTGGCTTAGCTGCATGTCTGGAGTAGGGTAATCATTAAGATTTAATAAACAATATAAACATTAGGGGATAGAACTAAAAGAGAAATCCCTTAGCTGTACCCCTGGATTATATACCAGCAGCCACCTGTCTGTGTTTAAGAAAATATCTTTCCCAGCAGACTGCTTAGGGTATTTATTTGCTTAAAGATGAAAGATCACCTCCTGATGATTTTATAAATATATCCATTTTGTTTCTTGGCAACAATAAAGCAATAGTTTGTCTCTGCCTATTTTGAAGATATTTGGTACTTTCTAATCTGGTATTTCCTAATGGTCTCCCATTCAAGGAATCCTATTTGTTTGTTTCTTCAAAATTAATCAAGATCAGTTAGATGCTGCCTTCTATCTAGGCACTGATTTATTTACTTACACAAATTACTCCAGTAAAAACATCTAGCATTAGCTGTCTAGAAATATATAAATTCACCAATGATAGCCTAAAAATGTATAAATTTATTAAAGAAATCTTTTTGGATGTTCTTCCCTCTGTCATTTTAGAAGCATTATATGCTTCTAAACCATGTCATAACATGTATTGTCAACATCCAACACCCCCAAAATTTGTACCAGAGCACAAATTAAAGCAAAGACACTGACAGTATTTGAATAGCCTATTTTTGGAAAAAGAGTACAGAAATACCCTTTATGAAAACTTTTATTGAAATCATTTAATATCTATGGTAGAGTGAGGAAGGTTCTCATGATATTTTAAACACAAATTCCAATATTATGTCTCATTTATATACTCATAAAAAGATTGCATAAATGCACAGAAGTAGGTGAGTCACCAAGCATACAATATTCCAAATACATAATACTGCCTACCAACAGCAGAAATGTACATTCCCTATATATCTGCCAGAAAACTGGTTAATGGATACATACATCAGAATGTCAGTCTGCCTTTTTCTCTTAAAATAAGTCTCTTAGCTGTAAAAACAGAATTGAAATCACAGGCATCTGGCTAGTGAAATCTCAGGAATTAAAAAGTCAAACATGGGTGCATTTGTACTGTCTGCAAAATTCTTTTATTTCGTTACTAGTACTAGAAGGAAAATACTTGCTGCAACATGAGCAAACATACTTTTGTAATTTAAGCAGGATACAAAATTCTGATGCAATTTCTGAAAATGATTTAAAGGGGGTTGGACTAGAAGACCTCCAAGATCCCTTCCAATATCATCATCATCATCACCATCATCATAATCAAATACTGTACCATAACAGTGAAATGGGCATTAAACTTTATTATATATTGCATTTCTAATATTCATATAGTTCAGTTCCTGAGGCCAATTAAATGGGAATGTTTGAAATTCAACAAAACAATTCTAAGGGACCATATTTATGATAGTTAATTTTTCAGATTATCTTGCAGCCTTATAAAAGAGAATTTTAATGCAATGCATTAAGTTCTGATAGAAAGGATTTTAGCTGAAACAACTTTCTGTTGGAGATGCTTTAGCTATGAACTTCATGCAAGAGGTAGGTGTGAGATTAGACAGTCCCCAAAGTGTCCTTCAACTTTAAGATTCTAATATTTTCCTCCAGAATACCAATGTAATAGCTACCGTATTCAATTACTCGAACACTTACTGGCTGAGGAATGCGAAGAGGTATCTCATTACAATCAATGTGGGTTTTGGCAAAGTCAGCAGGACTTTTCGGATATGTAGAGCTCTCTCTTGCAGGTTGTCCATTGCTAAAGAAAAAGAGAACAGCTTCATAGACATGATAGGATAAAACTGAATAATGAGGTCACACTTTAGCTTACTACTCTGGTTGACATTTTCACAGATATAAGAATAATCTGATTTTTAAACATTTTTATGTTTGAACGTGTGTAAATCTTATTTTATCACATGCAGAGACATTGGGAATTCACAACATAGCAGAAGTATGTATGTATACAGGTTGGTGGGTTTTTTTCTTTTTTTTGCATCTCAGCAATGTGATTATGAAGGTTAAAAAAGAGACTGTCACATAAACTTATAAAACCAGGCAGGACACAAACTAGCTCTCAATAAAAATGTTGGTTATCATCAAGATGCTTTACAAAAACGAATGTTGTTTCTTAGCTGATCATTAGTGTGCTCTTATTTATTATGCATTTTCTATTTCTTATACTCTAACTTCCTCTATCCTAGAATTTAGTCCCATACAATAGAATGACTTTACTGCATTTCCTAAATTTGTTATACTAATCTTAATTCTAATCATTTGTAATTTCTTGTTCTTATAATCCAGGTCTATTCTTTGTTTGTAAATCTCCAGCTGGTCTAACCAATACCCAAATGGTGTTAACCATTTCATTTCTATCTTTCTTTGATCATTTACTATATTTGGTTCTATATTCTCCTTTCTATCCATTCTTTTTATATCTGACTAAACAACCTGTGTGCCATTGGGTCATTGTTTCAAAGATACTTTCTTACTTAAGGAAGGAAATTAGATAGCTAATCCATCCTTTTATATCGCTTTCTGGAATTCCTTCCTTCCTTCTAACCTCACATGGGGGGGGGGGGCGCAAGATGTTCCAGAGGACAGAAACAACAGCAGAAAAGGCCTTCCTCCCGGACCCCGCCAGCTGGAATAATCGGGCTGATGGGACCCGCAGCATGCCTCCTCTGCCGGCACGAGTGGCATGGGCCAATTTCAGTGGGTGAGGGTCCCTAAGTAACCTGAACCCACACCACAAAGGACTTTAAAGATGATCACCAACACCTTGAATTGCACCTGGAAGCAGACTGGTAACCAATGCAGCTCACAGAACAGTGGTGTTACAGGGGCCATTTTGGGAGGGGCCCATAACTACCCGTGCTGCACTCTGCACCAGCTGTAGCTTCCAAATGCTCTTCAAGGGAGCCCCATGTGGAGCACATTACAATAGTCTAGCCGTGAGATGATTAGGGACTGAATGACTGAGTGCAGGGAATCCTAGTCCAGGAAAGGCCGCAACTGGCGCACAACTGGCTGAGGGATGGACCTCTCCCTATCAATATCAATTGGGACTTGCCACAGAGAAAGATGAACCAGGACAGAACTGTGCCACCTAGCCGGCCCAAAAGGATAGCATGGCCGATGGTATCGAAACTGCCGAGAGATCAAGGAGAGTGAGGATGGTTGCACTACCCCCATCTCACTCTCATCAGAGATCATTGACAAGCACAACCAATGCCATTTCCATCCCATAACCAGGCCTGAATCCTGAATGAAAGGGGTCCATATAATTTGTTTCATCCAAGATCCTCTGCACCTGCCAGGCCTTTTCCACAACCTTCCTTAGAATAGGAGATGGGAAACTGGATGAAAATTGTCCAGGCAGGTAGGATCCAGTCATGTTTTTTAAAGGAGGGGGCGAACCAGGGCTTGCTTAAAAGCATCTGGAAATGTCCCTTCCTCTAGAGATGTATTCATCACTATCTGGACCCACCCGCTAGTCATTATTCTGGAGGCTTTCTCCATCCAGGAGGGATAAGGATCTAACTGACAGGTGGTGGCACTGACAGCATTAAGAGCCCTGTCCACTTCATCAGGGTCAACCAGATCAAACTGTTTCCAGATAATAGGGCAAGACCTCTTCTGGGCATCTCACACAGACTATCTCCATGCATGGGGGCCAACAAATCCAAGCGACTTTGTCCATCAGGTGCTGAGCAAACTCCCCTGCCTGGCTCCAAATCCTGACTTTAAAAGGAATGCAACAAGTTTAACTGGTGCAGGGTAGAATGTGGTCGTCCCAAAGATATTGTTGAAGTTGAATGAGGGGATGTATACAATGCCAACTGCACCAAGCCCATTTTAATGTGCTGGTTTAAATTTTAAAACTAATATTTGGAACCAAGTTATATGATGTAATCCCTGCCTCCTTATCAGCCTCCCTGTACTTTAAGGAGATCAACTGAAAATTCCTGTTACATGTCTGCTTGCTGACAGAAATTAGAATTGTAGGCAGAAGGAAAGAACTTCTGCAATGGCTCCTACATCTGAAGAATGCATTGCCAGGAATGTCTGACATAGGCTTTTTGAAAAACATCAAAGAACTGTTTGTTTTTGGTGGCTTTTCTTAAATTTTTATTGGATTGCCCAATGCATTATATGATTTCTGATGGTATTTGGGTAGTGGAGATATTTTTGTTCCACTCAGCACCATTATTTTCTTACTATTTAACTTTGCAGTGGCTTTTATTTATTTTGGAGAGTTCCTTGCTTCTGCTCTTACCCTTAGTGGTAGTCTATAAGTATTTTTTTAAATAGAAAAATAAATATAAAATGCAGAATATGGTTGAGCGATATCATCAGTATGTAACCCCTCCTTCACTCCTTCTCTTATGGGCACTTGCTCTCCTCCATCAGGCTTCACACCCAAGCAGAATGCTTATTTATTTTTAAATTTGTTTATTATTAATTTTAGGGAACAAGCTACAATGCCTCATGTGGTCATCTCAAGCATAACATTTACTTCCAAAAATGTTTTTTGGGCTCTATATATGCTGTAGAACAGGGGTCCTCAACCTTGGCAACTTTAAGACTTGTGGACTTCAACTCCCAGAATTCCTCAGCCAGCAAAGCTGGCTGAGGAATTCTGGGAATTGAAGTCCACAAGTCTTAAAGTTGCCAAGGTTGAGAACTCCTGCTGTAGAAGCAGTTTTTTTTTTGGGGGGGGGGAGAAGCTGATTAGGGGTTACAGCCTACTGCTTTCTATGGAAATATCTCAGCCAGAACAGGAGGACAGGGAAGAATAAAGATAAAAATGGATCACCAGTCCCAATTTGCTATTAATGAGGCAATGCATTCACTTTTAAATCCTTACCATCTACAACGTTAAAATTGCTTAAAGTATGGAATGCTACATAATTTAAAACCAGAGAACTCTCTTCAATATCGCACCCAAACAGGCTCTCTTAAAATTTTTCTTGGCCCTCTTTAAGGTACTGTAATGATATAAGAGACTGATCTTGAAAAACAGGAAGAGCTGCAACCCAGAAAACAGTCAGAAGAGAAATCTGAGTCGAAAATAGGAATGTAATTTGAAGAAGTGTCTCAGACTCAACCCTCCCCACACCCTCTCCTTATTCAGTGACCATAGTTCATTCACTAAATCAGAAACAAAATGGTTGCTAAGCAAAAGCATGATAGAGAGAGAGGAAGAGAGAGAGATGCTGCCAAGAACACTGGTTGTTGCCATTTTGTTCAGGTAATGCTCTCATGAAAGCTACATCAGCATTAGTCTCCTGGCACGTGCTGTTGTCAGGGGCACACATCTGGATGTTAAGTGTGCATGTTGGTCAGAAAAGGATTAAAAAAAATACTGTATTTGTTCACTAAAGTAAGCTAGTAAACAGTGAGTGATTATAGTTCTCTTGAAAATAGAGGCAAGAAGAGGAGAGGCACTTTCAGACTTGCAAGATTCTTCTACAGTAACCTTATAATAAAAGTAGTATTAGCATTTATAACTTTGAACTCCTGTTCCTAGACTGAGTTTAAAGGACTATAATCAAATTGGTAGATATTAACATCTTTGGAACAGTGTCCATTTTGACCGAAAGTTTTGAAAATCTGAATAATAATTAATAATTACACAATAGTCTTTAGTAATTAATACTAGTATGGCTTTCATGATCTTGTAAATATTATTTCTTAGGATTTACAAAAATAAAGCAACACAAGAAATTAATAAAATATTTCTTATTAGTTGGCAAGTTAACTATAGCAAAACATTTGAACATTGAAGGGCATATTTCTATGGTTCACTTGTATTTTTTAAGAAATGAATAAAAATCAGTATAGCAGTAAAAACTTAAAGAATTCCCAATTGGTCTCCATTTTTTTGGTAAAATCAAGAGGATATTCTTAATAAATGATCTTCATCTATACAGATGAATATGGATATGGAAAAATATCCAAATCCATAACTTCATTAGAATTATAATTAAAAATGTAATGTCTTAATATTAATCCCATGTGAGACAAATCACATATTTGTTTTATGCTTCTGCTTTTATGTATTATAATCTCCTTCACTCTTTATTGATCACTGTATGTTTGTTTTATTTTTTAAAAAGGCAGGCTGAGATAGTAGGAAGCATTCTGGTATGCAAGGGGTAGTGGGAGAGAGCAACCTCATAATTTTGCTTTCGGTAGTTGGACATTTTTCTCTCCAAATTTCAGAATGGAACTACTGAGAATTATAGTTTTACAATGCTTCATGCTTGTGTGGATGCACGTAATGTTTAATTATGTTCTGGTTTAACAGAACAGGACATGAAAATCTGAAGCTGGTCAAGTGTGGAAGTACTGAATACTATCCATTGTAGCAATTAAATCAGATAGTCTATTACACTTAGTTTCTTAAGGTGGGTGTTTCAAAAGAAATCTTTAGTTTAATATTCCACAGGCAGATTAGCATTCCTGAATGATGAGACAAAGAGCTATGTCTACAGCAATATAATGGGAAAAAAGTGGGCAGCACAAAGCCTTGGCTCTAGAAGTTTAGAATTATTTGGCAACAAGCTGCTCTTTTCATCTAACAGAGTTGAACTGAGTAGACTCATTTGTTGTGAAAATGAAACTGCAGATCTTTTTAAGAGGAGCTCTCCTATATCTTACTTCAAAGGCTTTTTCCAGCATGGTCCTTCTTATGCTTTGACAATGTATTCATTGTTTGCTATAGAAGTGAGTCAGCACCAAGAAGTTTACTATAAACCTATCAGTCCCAGGGAAAATATTAATACCCTTGAAACGATAAGGTGTAAGTTACTAGCTTAATTTGTTTCCTACATGCTGCAGAAAAATACTGTGAGGAATGTCTATTATCTTTAAGGAAGATGCCCACCAACAGACAACTGTTGGTTGTCTTTCTGTCTCTCAAATAAACAATTAACTAAATGATGAAGTCATATTGATCCTATATTGCCTTCAAATGATAAAGATAAAAAAAGGACAAAACAATTACTTAAAGCACTCCCTTTAAAGTAAAAATGTTCTGTATTGGATTATTTTTAGTTTACTAATTTACCTTGTCAGTCACTTTTCTTTAGTATAATCAAATGAAATGGCATTGGGAAGGATAAGCTAATAATATGGTGGGATGGGAGAGCCAAGAAAGACTGGATCAAACCCCAAAATAGAGAAATGTTTCAACATTTTTTTTTTAAAAAAACCCTTTGTTTAAAAAGAAGGAAACAGATCTTTATGTCTTAAAATCTATATCTTTGATCCTATTCTGTCAGCATTAGCCTTACAAGCTATAATTATCACATTACAATCTACTGGGGAAGCACATAGAATCACCTTTTTAATCAGTTAATCAAAAGGAAAGCCACAGATTAACAGAAATATGTGGTGGGATTCAGATGAACATTAAGAGAAATACATATTGTTGAATTAACTTATAACCCAGTGAGAGGCAAATAATGATCTTTTATTCTGATTTTGTATATTTACTATCTCAGAAGCAAACTGACATGTTTCAGATCTCTAGTCTCCTGTAAGGAGATTAAGGAATGTTCTGAGAAGCCAGTGGTAAGATTTCTAAAAGATAGCATTAAATCCTAACTGGCTTGTGCATTTTTGTGATACTTACTGACACAGGCAATCAGGTCATGAAAGATTTCCTTGGGGAAAAGGGGATGATCTAGCCCACGAAAATAGAGCTTTAGGACACCCGCAATTGAATCCATATCATGGTCATTTTGATCTCCAGCCAGTGGATCCTCCCCTGGTTACCACAAAACAAAGACAATAGCAACAGAGTAAATAGGATATTTGCATATTTAAAAAGAACAAACTGCAAAATATGGAAGGAAAATCAAGTAAGATTTTGTTTCGAAAATGAAAACAAAAAAACCCTCAAAACCCCCTCAAAAATAAATCCAGTTAAAAATTTAACTCCCATTCTTAAAAGTGACATTCAGCATAAGGCTAACACTACTGTAGTACTATTATTATCTTTTTCATTTTCTCTACTACCCCTTCTTATTGGTATTATTGTTATGATTATATTATTGTTATGATTATTACCTTGTAGTTTGCATGTACACTGAGAGCTTCTACACTGTAGAAAAATTTCTTGTGTGTCTAATCACACCTGGTCAAATAAAGCTATTCCATTCCATTCCATTCTATTCTATTCTACCCTATTCTATTCTACTCTACCCTACCCTACTCTAATTATTATTCTATTCATAGCAACATAGTTCTAGCCAGTAGATGTTATAGGGCTACAACACAGGCAATCTGCACTCTGACTAAGGGGATAAACACTGTAATCTAATGCAAAGGCTGATTTGGGCAAAATGGTTTAAAATGGAACATGTGAAAGTTGTATTGTGCAATGTTCTGGTTTCAGAATGATTGCAAAAATCTCACATGAACAATGTTAATAATCAGCCATGCCTAAAAAGCAGGAGCACATAGTTCTCCGGCATACGGGAATCCATCTATTGCTATCATAAGAGCTAAAGAAAGAAAGGATTCCTATTAAAACCTCACTGTTGGAAATAATTAATTTTGATTATTGGGTAAACTGTCAGTTATATATTTTCTTCATGTAACTGAAACCATTGCAGCTCAGCTGATATCACAATACCTCACAGGATAATTAGAGAATTTTCCTCAATATTAATTCTCATCAAGAGCCTTTAGATAGAACAACAACATTAATAACAAGCATTTACTGTTTTAGTACTGCATGTGCTTTGAAAATACCATGAGAAATGGATGTAGAAAATTTAGTGTTTTGTACTGTACTGACATCAAAGATTTGGATCTGGAATTTAGAGCAACCCTTCACTGAAAGATCAGACAGAAGAAGAATTGCTCCCATGACTGTATTGTCAGTAATAATGCTAGAACAATTTGATGTGTCTCTTAGAAACTTTTCATAGGGAATCTGTAGACTTTCAGCTGTTGCTGAACACTAGTTCTCAGCAGTCCTTATCCTTGGCTATGCTGATTGGGGATGTTGAGAGGTGTAAGATACCAAGGTCCCTTGTGCTGTAAAATGCAGTATTTATAATTTGCATACGTTTACTTTCTGTCTCATAGACAAAAATGTCCCATCTTTCCACAACCATATTTATTAAGAAAAATCTCAAATTCAATTAATTTCAATGATGCTACCCAATTTATAAAACAGGCAGCATACAAATGATTAAAAACAAAATAAGGTAAGCAATATATATGTAAAAGAATCACAACATCAATACAAATAGAGCCCCAAAGCCCAGCATATTCAAAATCCTAAACCAATTTTTCAAACCGGTTCATTTATTCTTCTCCCCTCCTGAAACTACTTGTGTTTAAAGAAAGGTACAACCATATACTGAATGGAAGGACATTCTTTTCATTGTAGGATACAATATGAGAATTTTCTGTGACAGTTTTGGGGGACAAAATATGTGAGGAAACCTATGCCAGATTTGAAGAGTTCTCCCTTCAATCACTTCCATTGAACTTTCCCCCCATGAACTTCCTGCTGTCACTATCCCATTTACTTATGAAAATGTCACAACTTAAAGGAATTTAAAATAATTTATAAGGCCTTTTAGAAATTCCATACACCTTCAGTCTGAAATGTTTATATAGCAATGTGACAAGAAGCAGAAACCTAAGGGATTTAGATACCAAAGATTACTGAGCATTGGGGGATGGGGGTGGGGCAAGGATGTGAAAAATATGCTCATTACAGCAGCATGAGAACCATGGAAAAGAAGATCTTGTCCTCTTTTGCAACTTCAGTCTTAGCATCTCTTAAATCCTGAAGCACAAAGCAAATGCAGAGGCAAACATAATTGCTCTTACCTCTCTCAAATGCATTTTTTATATCATTCACTTCAACCTGAGATCCAGATACCCTGAATATTCCTTCATGCTGAAGTCCTGGGAAGAAAATAGGAAGCATACATGAAAACTGAAGGAACTACACAAATGATGCCGTTCCACCTTTTTTTTTTTTTTTTTTTGATAAAGGAACCTAAGATACAGCCACTTGAAGTCAAAATTGTGGCATTATTATAGAACTTTCTAGGGCCCAATTACAGCACTCAATGATTTTGTACCTTAAATACATTGAAACAAAATGTCTTCCAGAATAGATTTAGAGAATTGTTACACATATATTGTACAGAAATGCTACACAGAAGTATATACTGAATTTTTCAATCACTCCCAAACTTGAAATTTTTTTACAGCTAAGCCTTAGTGAATAATAAATAACAATCCAAAAACATTCTTAGGATCTCATGATTCCTATGCCTGTTTTATGCAGTGTGAGTCCTCAACGTCTATGGAGGTTCTCTGTCATCCAGGTCATGGTTGTCCCAAAGGTGCTTTTTCAAAGGCAATTGCACTTTGTTTTTCCTTGAATATGTTTCGCTTCTCATCCAAGAAACTTCTTCAGTTCTAACTAAATGGTGGAGGATGGAAAGATTTGAATTCCTTGCAGTCATCTAGTTGTTAGCATTCTTTCTGAGAGTTGCTGAGGTGACTTGGAGGTTTATCTGTGTCCTCAGGGTCACCTGAAGAGTGCAAATGGATGTGGAACCTTCTTGGAACTGCTGAAAGGACTGTGTTGTAAACAGGAGATAGGTGGGATTATATCCGTCCCCCTTCTGTTGAGCTGTTCCCTCTTTCAAACCAGCATTCCTCTCTGTCCTGAATGTGGACTTTGCTGTCCTCAAAAGAATGACCTTTGTGTTTCAAATGCAGATGGACTGCTGAATCCTGTCCTGATGAGTTTGTTCTCCTATGTTGTGCCATGCGTTTATAAAATGGTGGTTTTGTTCCCCCAATGTATAGATCCGTACATGTCTTACTGCATTGTACTGCATAAATGTGGGTCCTCAACATGTCTCTCAGCACATGTGCCTCAGTTTTTAGATCTGTCAGACACTGTTATTTGTAACTCATTATGAGGATTTGCACATTATATGTAGACACAAGATAAATAATTTGGTTCTCTGATTGTGGTGATCTCTCTATGTGAAGGCCAAGCTTGTACCAATGTTTATTTTGTTATGGTTAGGGTGCTATTCATCTAAGGTTTGTGGTTTCTGTGACAGTCTAGCCTCTATGGCTTTTTATCACAGTTGTTTTTCTTGCTTGTCTTTTATTTTTTTTTCCATTGGTTGAATCCTGTCAGAGATCTAATTATTATAAGGTGAGTCTTAAAATAAATAATATTTAAACAGAAAACAGGTTAAATGTTGGTGCTCAGTTGTATATGGGATATTGATCCAATTTATAGTGCACAGAATGATTAAATTATTACACTAATTACAAAATTAGTTGAATTTAGTACCCAATCCCTGGTGGAGGCTTTCAAGCTAGAGTAATCAGAAAGTAAATCAGTCAAATCTTCTTTTAAGCAGCATCCTGTATATATGCAATCCAGTTTCTAGACAACGAGATACATGGGATATTATTTGGTTTATATTATACATGATTTAGATCTAAAATCTTTGATTTTTTTAAATGAATGAATCCTTTGATATGAAATAGAGCTTCTATTTATAGTATTTATATTTATACTCTGGACACAGAAAAATCTAAATCTCTCATAAAGGGTTTTTCATAATAGAAGTTGTACCACAATCAATTAATTATTTTTAAACTGTTACTTCAAATGACTTTAGAGAAAATCTGTTATTTATTATCCAAGAGCAAAACATCTTCTATGGATATGGTGGTATGCTTGCATTGGCCAGAAGGAAATTAGGTCAAAAATCTCTATATAAAATGTACAGCTTTGATCTGAGGCCATTTATTTTAACATTGGATTATCTTGAATTTATTATATTTCTCTTTTCCTCCACTGTTTTACAATTATGTGAAAGGATACCTTATTTCCTGTGAATTAGTGTTTGTTCCATGCATCATTTAACTTGTGACAGCCTACAGATTTAAACAAACAGTCCTTTATTATGTAGATAAATGCATACTTCCCATCTGATTGGAGCAAGTATACAGCAATGCGTGGGTAGTGCCTGATGAAACTTTACAACTGGAAGGAGCTTCTTAGATGTCATTAAGTGACAAAGAGGCATTTCTTTCACAGTAACTTATTACTTCTTGATTATTACAAATTATTTTTGATATAGGAACTTTGATGCAAAACTGAATTATGTTGGCAAATACAACATAACAAAGCATGTATCTTTGCTTATTGTTCTTCCACTGTAGGTGGTTAGCAAAATTATAAAAACAAACACTTACTGATTAATATGCTACATAGCAGAAAAATGCAGATATACATAAAAAAGCCAAGAATAACCATCAGCTGATAATTAGCTCAACAGTCAAGTGCCCGTTTAAATAGGAATATTTTTATTGGCCAATAAAGGCTAAAGAAGGGAAAGGCCCAGGCATAACCACTGTAAACTGCCTTTTTGAGCTGCATTTGGCAGAGATCTTAGGTCAAAAAAATCCTAAAACTTAACAGAGGAAGTCATGAATAAAAAAGTGATAACACTGCACACTGTCTCTCTTTCAGACATTTTTTTTTAAATACCTTGAAACTGTGTCACTTTAGACAATCCTCAACAATAAAGTATAACCTTGTGATTTTTTTTTCTTTTCACACTTACCATGTCTGCTAATGAAACGTATACAGCTCTCTACCACCAAAGGAATTGAGTGGCTGGAATCCTGAATGACAAAATAGACAAAATGTGATGAAAACAATAGCTTGTCAGAAAGGAAGGAAGTGAGTGGGAGGGGGGGGGAGAGGTAGAGGAAATATATAAATTTCTGAACTTCATATACTTTGAAATAGTCTACCCAGGGACATCTATTTCCAAATGTAAGATTTCTATACAGCGAGCATCGTGCAAAAGATATTATTAAATAAATACACACTGAAAAGCTCGGAATAGATACAGTATTTATATATGGTTAATGATGTATAAAGACCCTGTTAACACCCAAAAGAAAAATGTGTTTATAGAAAAAACCTGCAATATACTACTAAATGAAATTAAGGAAGAATTTTAAGATTTTTTTTCTTAAGAAATGTTGTGATGATAGCCTTCAGAATATTTAAATACATATTGTTTCTATTTCAATATACGGGTAGCCCTTGGCTTATGACCCCAGTTGAGTCCAAAATTTGTATTTTTAAGTGAGACATATGTTAAGTGAGCTTTTACGACCTTTTTTGCCTCAGTTATTAAGGGAATCACTACAGTAACCCGGTTGTTAAGTAAATCTGATTTCCCCATTGACTTTGCTTGGCAGAAGGTTGCAAAAGGTGATCACATGATCTTGGGACACAGCAGCCATTATAAATATGAACCAGTTGCCAAGCACCTGAATTTTGATCATATGATCATGGGAATGCTGGAAAGGTCGTAACAGTGAAAAACGATCATAAGTCACTTTTTTCAATGTCGTTGTAACTTTGAACAGTCACTAAATGAACTGTGGTAGTTCATTTAGTCAGTTCCTTTAACAATATCTCTTTGCCCAGTCTCTCAAGATCTTTCCAGGTATCATTACACCTTCTGTCTTACAGATCTGATGTCATCAATCCAGGAAAGATATGTCTCAATGGCTTTCCATTTTTTAGTCTGCTTTAGTCTGATGGAGAAAATAGAATCCCCATTTTGGAAAAGAGCTCCTAATGCTTTTCCCAAACTGAGAGATATTTTGCTATTTTAAAAAAAATTGCCAGTACTGTCATTAGTAAAAAAAAATCAAATAGTTGCTTATCATTGCTTATATTACAGAACTGAGTTGGGAATAGAAAAATAGAAATTTATATATATATAAACACACACACACACACACACACACACTTTACGGTAAGTTAATAATTAAAAGACAACAAACTACAAGTGAAGCCTCAAATCAAAGCTGTTCTGGAAGAGGAAAAAAAAAGAAACCTCAATTTTTCACTTTACTGTGAACATATGTTATAGCTTCTAGTGCTCTATAAAGCATGCCGAGAGGTCTTTTGCAAAGCATGACAGCATGCGGCATTAAAGCTGTTCCTCCTCTGGAAGGATCAGTATTGCTGCTTTGACTATTGTCCTTAGTGGTTTGTGGTTTGTGTGCATGTGTGCATGTACAGATAACACTTCTGCTGTGACCATCAATGAACAAACAGCTGTATATGTACACACAGGGACAAAGAACCAGAATAGCTTCCTTTAACTCTTCAAATAAGGGATATTTTGTGCTAATAAGCATTGTAAACCAGCTCTTCTGAATGCAATTTTACAGCTTAGGAGCTTTGCTAACATTATGTTAAAAATTAGCATGCCATAAGTCATTGCAGATAGGGGCAAAAAGACACTGGAATTTCTCTTACGGACACATCACATCTCCCTCCCCCCCCTGCAAGCACACACACACACACACACACACACACACACACACAGTCCTACCTAACAAACCAGAAAATAATGCAAGAGGTGCTGACAGTAGTGCTGAAACACACAATTACAGTAAAATGGAGCAGTTAAGAGTTATAAAGGTGAATCAAAGTGGAAGAGAACTAACTGCTCAGGTATGTTCCAGCCATTAGAGGGCAACAGCTTCAAGTTCAAAAATTCCAAGCAGGAAGAGATAAGGGAACAATATGTATGGTTCCATTCAAAGATAGAGAGAGAGACCTGGTCTTTTTTGTTCGGTGCAAATAAAAAAAAATGATCTATAGGACTATAGATAAATGATAGACTCAAATGAAGTTCAACAAATTCTAGCCTCAAAACAAATCAACAGATAATTTGCAAGGGCCTTTCGTTTGCCTGAGTATTCACCTCCCTCCAGGTCCTCTAAGATTCAATGTTATATGCACAGCAACAATTGAACACAGGACGGTCCTTTTCACATACTACAATTCAGTTGATATATTACTTCAAACTGGCAATTCACTCTAAATTGCTCCCTGGTCATGCAAAAGGTAACTGAGCTTCATTCATAAATGTCTGGTCACCAATTAAGCTTGGAGAACAGGAGGCAGGAAAAATGGTATAAAACACAGATTCTGAGCTATTTTCCGACAAGTGATATTGGTGATCCTGATGAAATCTGATCTCAAAATAGGTTTCAATATTGTTGCTAATAATTTGTGAGATAAATTCTAACATAGAATAAGCATTAGTTGATTTCTCAGGAATCTAGTATCAGGTTATGCCTCATTCCATACAAATGTCCTTAGGCAGTTATCAGAAGAGGAGACAAATGCCCCCTTTACCTTCTATAGGCTATGTAGTAGCTTTTTTGTTTATAATTAGAGAAGGGATTATTGATCTGCAAACTGCACTGAGTATTTTTGACTGAGCTGCAAGGTATAAATGCTTTAAATAAATGAGTAATATAAAGACTCTTATTGATTGCTATAAAATCACAGAATCATAATGTTGTAAGGAACTATAGAGATTATCTAATTCAGCCCCTTTGCAATGCTGGAGAAATTAAAAGTTTTTGTTTCATGACCTCTAGTAAAGGAGAATTTGTCACAACATATGGCAGCCTGTTGTACTACTGATAGCTCAAACAGTCAGCAAGTGCTGAAATACCTTTCTTCTAGTTTTAACTCAATGTTTCTGACCCTACTCCCCATTGCAATGGAAAATAAACCATCTTCTATATGACAACCCTTCAGATATTTGAAGACTGCTTTCATATTTCACCTTAGTTGTATTTCTTATAAGATCCTTGCTCTTTAACTACTCTGAGTTTTATTTCTAGATCCTTCATTCATTATCTTGGTTGTGCTCTGCTGAACTTAGTTGAATTGCTATACAGTCATTATTCTTTCAGAGATGCAGTGCCCAGACCAGACAGAATATTCTATGCGGGGTCTGACCAAGGCAAAGGAGATTTACTAATTAACAATTACTTTCCATGATCTGGACTCTCTGCTCCTTTTAAAGCATTCCATAAAATATTGCTGCAAAAGAAATCAGAGTCAGAAGCTACTGACAGCAACAGCATGTTCAGTAACAGCTGACAACTATAGAATGATTTTATTGTCATTTAAATAACTTTCTTACCTGCTTTCTTATGGTAGAACTACGTCTGCTGTTGATCCAAGTATTCACACGAACCATTATCAATAGATGAGGGAGAACAGGAAGAGAAAGCATGTTTCAAATAAATCATTTACAACCAAAGTATCAATTTATTTGAAATATAAAGAGTTCATGGGGGTGGGGTTTGTAGAGAAGATTCAAATACAAGACATATTTACTTCCAAGTTTTAAAATCTAATTTAAAATAAAAGTACTGTAATGGTCAAACAGGCACAGCGGGCTTTACTGTTAACAGATGGCTATACTTTTACTTCCAATCTTAGAGAACATCACTACAAAGCCCTTTCTTTCTGTAATGTCATTTAGAAATTATTTAAAGGCAGCACCATGCTAAGAAAGGCATGCTTTGCTGGATAATTTACAGCCAAAAGGGTGAGAAAATTCAAATTATTTTCTCTGAGACAAATTCAAACTTAATGCACTTTATTAAACCATGTCTTCAATAAAACAAAGGTAACAGGATTGAAATAACAAGAACAATTACAAACCATCTCATAAATATGTTTGTGATTTCTTATATATTACTAGGAGACTCAGAATAGAATGGCCATTTAAACATTTGTTTAGGTGTTCTCATGTGGAACACCTTATCATTCATTTTAAATATAGTGGAGTACCATCATATCTGTTGAGAATGTCACTTGAGGCAGAGGATTAATGGGTTTCTCTGATCATAGAGAAACGATTAAGGAATGTAGATATTAGAAGTTAGCTAGAAGATTTATGCAGTGTATCTATGGTGGTAGCTAACCTAATGATATTTCTCAGGAGTCCTTAAGACGAACAGAAATTTAGTTTGTTTTACAACTTATCTACAGATCCAAGGCACTTAAATTTAATCATTTGGATGGCTCTCCTGAGGACCTATGGAACTATACCTTGAACTGATGTGATTGAAATCCTTCCTATGGGAAAACAGAATTGTCTCTAGACTGACTTATGACTTCTAAAATAACTTTGAAGAAAAAAACCTGGAGTACATGACACACTCACTCCATACAAATTTTTGGATGAGGTAGCACTTAATACTAGTATTTGTTGTATGTACAAAGTCTAATTTCAAGCAGTAACTTTTCCAGGTGAACTATCACATACAGAATCACTACTAGCTGAAGTAAACATCTCCAGATAATATCGAGCAGTAGTCTGTCAAAGAATAAGGTAGTTTTCCATTTCCATTTTCTTTTTTTGTTTATTGCTCTGGTGTCCTATCAACCTTAGTATATAAATACAATGCACACATTTTAAAATCTTAACGTCAAATAACACCCAATTTTCTTACTCTGACAACAGATCCATAGTGGTTAACAATAAATAGATAACCTGATGTTATTGCCCCAAATCAATGGTGAATGACACAAAATGATTGATTGATCTTAATTACTGCCTATATGTATACACTATTATATGCTTATTTGCACCTACAATGGACAAATAGATGCTTGCAATTACAATGTGATGCCCAGTTGTTTTTCTTGAAGTTTACTTAGAACCCCAGGGGTTATGCTCACTTTTCCCTATTATCCATAACTGAAAGCAAGTTAATAGAGGCTGCTTCCCTGCTGTTTATGTTGTCAAATAAACAGAAATTTTTATAAAGAAGATTGGAAAAGATGGACAAAAATATAAGGATTAAATCTTGTTTCCTTCTTAGTCTCCTCTTTGAGACATCAATGAAAAGTGTCATTAGGGTGTGAGATAACATAAATGATAGAGTTTATATATTATAGTTAGCCAGAATATGATTGATAACTTCCTGTGTTGTCAATCTATTATGGGTTGGCAAACAAACTATGCTTTAAATATAATGGTCTAGTGAAAAGTGGGAACTCAGTCAAAATACAAACACAGAGAACACAAAGGTCCCTGTTCTTCCAACCCAATTCAGAATATTGATCCATTTAGCTTAGAATGGTCTATGCTGGCTGGCAGAAGCCATCTATTCAGATTCAACCAGAAGTTTTTCCAAACTTTCTTTAAAATGAAGCAATTTTCCGATAGCAGTGCATCATTGGTAGAAGGTAACAGCAACCAAGGATTAGTAGTTAAAATACTTCATCTCAAACAGATAATATAAATGGATTCTCTCAAAATGTTAACAACTTTCTCTTAAAATGTGAACAACTACCATACAACCTTGTCTTAGAATTGGAGAACTTGAAATGACAAATATGGAGCATGGTGGCAATATACTATTGAGGTAATTTGGCTAGATATGAATCATCAGCCTGCCATTCATTTGTCATCTTGCTCATTGGCCCTTGATTCTATAACTAAAATCTGATTTCAGCTGTCCATGTTCAACTCAATTTAAAAGTAATGGAAGCAGCTGGTGATAGGTCAAACTGGCTGGTATGTTGTTTACAGGTTTGTTTCAGTGTATGATTTTTATTACTTTATGAGTGTAATCCATCTAGAATCATGAGCGGGTGGCAAACAAATGGCTGCATCAATAAATAAATAATTGCAAAAAGGAACACCCCATTTTATCTTTTTGGAAGTCAGCTCTGATAGCCTTCCCTCCTGCTTTTACTTCCAAGTTGGTTAATCCTGTTCTGACAAATGAATTGCTGGAAATAAAGGTTACTGGAAAAAATCCCTTATATAATTCAGTTCCTTGCCAAAACAGATGGAAGATAAATATGAAACAAAAGCAACCTCTCTTGTGCTTAAGATACATATTTTTAATTTTGTGGTATTTTAAAAAAATAATAAAGACAAGAATCAAGACAGAATCCAAATGCTTCCTATATTGTTCTTCTGTCTTGTGCTGTTTTTGTGTTTTTTTCCCCTAGACTTCGTTTTTAATAATTGTAAGCCATGAGAAGTTGCTGGGTGTTGCTGGGTGCATAAATTTAATTAATTAATAAATAATAATAATAATAATAATAATAATAATAATTATTATTATTATTATTACATTGCAAGGATTGGGATAGCAATGGAATTCCAATATAGTTCCAATAATAGATTAATTATTATTAGTAAGGATTAAATGAAAATGGTGGTGATGCAGGTTCTTCTCACAGGCAATCTAAGGTATTTTCAAATTTTGGTCTCAATACTACTGTTATATTTAATGCTGTACCACAATGAATCGTATTTCATTACTGCAAGTGTCAGTTCCCAATCAGGAACTATCAGCTGAGCTTCATTTTTTATTTTATTTATTTACTTGATTTATATCCTATCTTTCTTTCCACAGGGATATGTAAATCAAAGTAATTATTCTAGACCAGTTAACGTTTTTTAAAAAAAATACAGTCATGTACCATATGGACATACATCTTAGCTTCTAGGCCAACAATAATAGCAATTTGGAGATTTGTAACATTCCACAGAAGACCTATAAAAAGTCATTTTTTTCAATTATTATTTCCACATCTGCAGTGACATTTATGATAGAATGATTGATGTCGGGCCCAGTTATAACAAAACGTTTATTCTCTTCACTGATTTAATCCAATTCTCTGTCAGACCAGATGGGGTCAGTGGGGCAAAATGGAAGAAAACCTCTGTATGATTGATCTCTCCCCTCCTCCGTTAGGCAATCAAAAGCACTTCAATAATTTTTTTCAGGGCTTTTTATCCTACTGGATACAGATGAATCTACCAGAGCACAGTGCCAGCCTGGGAAAATCTATAATATATTATTAGCTAAATAGTCAAACAGTCAAATCACAATAAGCTCACAATGAGCTAAGCCAGAATCAAACCAATCAACCATTACGGTTTATAAGGTTCATGGCTTAGCATGATGTGAGAACGCAACCAGTTAAAAAAATGCAGCACAGTAAAATGTATTAATGTGGATCTTTTTTTGTTCACTTTCTCAAGTGCATTTGGTAATTAGAGCATGATGACAGGCTTAATGTGGGGCTCTCCCAAGTTAAATTTTGCTTTTCATTTAATTTGAAATTCTGTACCTGTGTTTCCTTCTGAGAAAGGCTACGGCATACCACGTCTATATCTTTGACAAGAAAATGTACAGACATATCCGTTATGTGTCTAAGTCAATCTGAAGAGGACTTTATCTTTTACCTGTATGTCCCATTTTCTACTAGCAAAAAGGTTCTGGAGCAAAGGTGAGGAAGTGAATGGTATTATGGCCCCAAAATACTTATACAAGTGTCACAAACTTGTGTAGCTAGCTGGACAATTGAACAAAGGCATCCACTGCTAGTGTAAAGCCATTATCAAATGTAATAGCTACTTCTGCCCTTAGACTGACAGTCAAATGATATGATCAATACTATGCAAATCTCTGTAATGATCTAGTTGAAATCCTTCAAAATTCCAGTGGATCCAAATTCCCCAACGCACACCAGAGGGAATAAATGGCATGATAACAATTTTTCACTGTGTACCACAGCCAATACTTTTGTTTTTGATGAATATTCTAGTTTATAAATGGACTCATTTCCTAACATCATGTCTGGGGAGGGGGGGAATAAACTACTCAAAGATTTCTAAACGAAACCAATATTTCCATGAACATTTTATAAAAGAGCATTGAAAACCTGGGGTGCCATCAAAACAATGATTGTTTGGAGGTGAATTAGTTAACATTTGGTTTGCAGGAAACTCCTGCTTTGCCTGTTGGAAGATATTCAAATAAGGAAGCTGCTTGCTGCCACACCTACCTCGCAAGAGAGCAGTCAGTCCTTTGACCTGTGATGAGAAAAATGAAAACAAAATATGTTTTTAAACAGAGGAAAAAAATATGAAGAAGGCATGTGAAAAAATGTGAAAGGGAACTGGAAGAAACTATTATGGGAGGGAGGGAGGGAGGCACAGTGGCTGATTCCCCTTCAGAACAGTCATTTTGATCAAGATGATCAGCAGCAACTTAGGAAATATGGATATGCTCCGAACTTGCTCTACCAGTTTTAGTGGAGATGTGGTAGAGTAAATAGGACAAATTACTACATATAAATAGGCAGCAAACATCACATTCACTCACATTGATGCTACCTAGCTGAATAATGAAAGGCAAGCAAACAACCAAGCTCAGAGAATATCAAAATCTCAATAGTTCAACCCCGAGCTACAAATATTCTCTCCTACTAGATCAGGAAAGGCACAAAACAGTTCTTAGCTGCCTGAGGACTTACCTTGCTCTTTAGACACTGACTTGCTATAGTTGGTAGAATGGTTAAAGTGTAATAAAAAGGCATGGCAGGAAGCATGACATTTCTTTCTCTATCTCAGCAAGAGATTACTATTTTTCAGAAATTGCTCAGAAAATGTACACAACATTCTCAGGTTTATTAGCATGGAATGTTCTGTCCAATCTGGTCATGCTGGCCGTGGATTAACTGATCTTTCATGCCAGACCTCTAGAGAGCTATACAAGGTACAATGCACCAGCACACTAGCTAGTTCAGAAGTCCATGGTTTTATTATTTCCTGTCTTTTTATTATTTTTTTAAAATCCACAAGTATTTCAAATGAGGAAAAAGACACCAAACAGCAATGCCTGGGGGCATTATGGGCAATATTTAAAAGGAGCTCAATTTACAGTAACAGAGAAGACATACATTATTGGACAGATAACAAAACTAAGATAGCTTTCTCTATTGGAATGGTATTGATTTATATCAGCAACAGTTTTTTCCCCAAGATCAGAAATGAAATGAATCAAGTATGGTTAATTATTAATCATGGACAATAAATAACACATTTTAAACAATCACTTTCCCACTCCCAGCAAAAAAATCTCAATTATTCAAAACAGTTCATATTTTATAATAACATTATACCAAACCAGAGTTTCTTACCATCTGCCCAATTTCCATTACAGAATATGAATATGTATATAGCTACATGGCTTTAACAACATCAAAAGGCTTTAGTATTAAATTAAATTAAATACAGGTAAAAGATAGGAAATAATTGTTCTATACCAAAAGACCTGCTACCGGTAGTATTTTCTATTAATGGAACCTGCCATGTCCAGAGTAAAATAATTTACAAGTCGGAAATAGAATGGGACAGAGAAAACAAATCAATACTGTTTTCCCCAAAGCTACTGTAGATAACCAGTTGTATTTTGCAGTCTGCCAAGCAATCTCTAACAAAGAAACAATGCCAAGGATTTCAAGCATGCAGTTTTTGGTCAGACAACATTTATCAATAGTGGTTAAGATTAACATCTAAACCCATTTCAATTTATAGCATTTTGCTTTGGATCTGAAAGCAATGTATTCTTCTAACATTCTTGCCCACCCAGATAACTGCATTTATCTCTTTTTAAATAGCTTAGATTCGGGACTGGGATCTTTGTGAGCAAAGTGAATTTCACAAAAGCATCATTAACTAACTACCAGAAAAAAGAGGTTTTCTGATTTTATGAAATCAGGCAAAGAATACCTTCAGTGTTTCTGATGCTCCCCCAGCAGGGAGTCAGTTAAAGGGGCAAGTAGGTTAAGAGAAGCGGTATGCTGGAATGCAGAAATCAGCAATGACTCAAGAATGTGGTTTGTCATAGGATCAGCTTGACTATTATATGGTGATACTCAAAGGGAGGGAAAATGCTCAAAGGAAATAACCTTTCTGACTTGTTTTACTTTACATGATAGCTGAATAATTTCCTTAACTGAAAAATCTAAAAAAAATTATGTATACTGCTTTGTTTGATTTCCAGTGGGATGAAGAATAACAATTTTGGTTATGCTTTTGGTTAAAAATAACAAATAATTTCATCCACATTCGTGTATTCAGGCCACAGAGCCCTTTCCCAGTCAGTTGCATTACTTCTTCTAGAGTTCTTCACAGTATGAAGAAATAAAAATGTCAAGTTTCTATAATAATTCCCCAAATATAAAATATATACTCAAGGCTACCTGTTCTTGGCCAGAGGAACCGAGCCATATGGCTTAGGAAGAGATTTTATAAGAATCAAAGAAAGTTCTGCAAAATATTGGTTCACTGCATATTGCAGTTTAAAATAAATTCTGTGGTTTACATTCTCACTCCAAAGATTTGAATCCTATAAGTGCAACACATATCAATATGAAGAGCTACTTTATTGTTTGGAGTTGATTCTTGCAGTTAAATTAAAAGTGAAAGCTATTCTGCCGACTTATTTAGATTCCCTATCCTTGCTCTTCCCAGATTCTGGAATGGATTTTTCATGGGTGCTCATATCCATAATTTCTGATGACATCTTTGATTTGGTCTCTGGCACCAGACAATTAATTCCAGCAATAACCACTGGCAATCCATTCATTTTATTAAAGTGCCAACAGGCTATATGCCTGCCAGAGTGCATTTTAATTCTACTTGAAAACACCTAGTTTTTATGTGTGACTAAAAAATCCACACAGACATGGGAAGCAACCTAGTTCAACAATAAAAGTGCTTCCCTAATGATAGAATATTTGCAGACCATGAGAAAAAAAAATGATTAATTGCAAGAATTAACCTAATTTGATTCTGCAGATATGCTGAAATGGGAGGGGAGTGGAGAGAAAATGGTTTCACTTAAACAAATAGATGTTGCACATTATTGGCTCATTAAGCACTTCCCTTTTGCCATTACTTAAGCAGCACTGCAGGGATGGAATAATAAATCCATAAAACATGACTTTGTCCACTTAGCATTGATAATCCAAGATTGTTATGCTCAGTCAGCTGCCTAATTTAGTAATTACAAAGGCTGGGCTGATGTAGTGACAAGCAATTCTCATGCTTACTTTCTCCCAGAGTCTTCTGCAGGAGGTCATGCTTGGCCTGGAGCTTGGTGATGAGATTTCTCCCTTCCAGATATTCCTTCAATTTCTAAAAGAATAAAGAAAGAAAAATATATTTGAAGAATTAAAATATATTTCTCAAATATTTGAGAGTAATAAACCAAGGAATCAGAAAGACTCAAAAAGAGTCAAAATTTTGCCAAGTTCCATTTGAAAACTATTTTGTGAGAAAGAATTTGGAACAAATCAACCACCAGGTTTGCTGTTTAATAACTAAAACCAATATAATTAAATGTTTTCAATCAGAGATCCCTTGATGGCACAGTAGTATAAGCAAACCTTCATGGATCAGATTAGAGATGGCAGTGTTCCTTCATGTAAGAACCAATCAACACTAGTAACCTTAATTTCTTTGCTTCATTGAATGATTTCATATTCTACTCTACGGCTTTTAAAATAGGATTAACAATATATTCAGACTAAGAATGGTAAAGTGTACATGTGTAAAATACAAAAATACTTGTATGCTGACTGAATTTCTTTTTTTTAACAAAGAGCTCCATGTAACTCAAATAAAACATGCAATGCTTTAAAAGAAACTACATATAATCCCTGGAATATCATATATCACATGGATATTTGAGGTTAAAAGCCCTCTCAGATCATTGAACATTCATCTAGTCCAGCATTCAATTAGGACTCAATTGTTTCTGGAGGAACATAAACTGTAGTTGCTATTCAATAATCAAAGATATGTTGCCCATAAATATGAGGTTGCCCCAAAAGAGCAGAGCTTCCAGTGTGACATTGCAACATTACTTTTGTCATATTGGTGAAAGTAGTGAGTTCCTGTGGATGCTGCTGGATCTGCCCTCTCTTTGCATTTTGTGTAATTTGTGTGATGATATTATTAACAAGTAACATAAATGGACGCAAGTGATTTTATGTACTTATTATATTTGTACACTGCCAAAATTTGCTGTTCAAACAGATAATACAACAATAAAAACGTAAAAGAACAAATTACAAGAAAAGAGAAACCAATTATGAATATAATAACCTCAGTCACCATTATTTTGACAGTTAATGAAACAGTTAATATGTAAAATATATTCATTTTAACAATTTATTGAAGGATGTCTGGGTTGACTATAGGGAGAGGCAGTTCCAGAAACTGAGGTCCATCACAGAGAAATGTTGCCTACAGTTTCCATCAATCTCACCTCTGATGCATATGGGATATTCATCACCACAGCTACGGCAAATATATTTGGTAGGTGTGTTATATGTAGAAAAGAAGGTCTTTAAGATATGTAGGACTTTAAAAACTAAAGCCAATACTTTAAATTGTAATATTGCGATAAATTAGTAAACTGCAAAATGAGAGTGAACATAAAGTTGTATGCATACATTAATACCACACCAGAATTTGTAAAGCACTGAAGATTTGGATATCCTCCAACTCATGGGAGATGGGAGGTTAGCTTGTTGAAAGGTTTTTCTCAATTGCTTTGTTTAGGTTTATCCTTGGCAACCACTGTATGCTTTTACCTTATTATTTTTAACATGTTGGTTTCCCAGAGTCGAATTTGTGAAATCCACAATGATATAAATTGATTTAATACATGCATACATACATTTAGGGCCCACTGGTCAAACTGAAATTTCAATTAATCCCCAAGTGAAAAGAATCTGACACAATCTCTGCATGTAGAAATAACACAGTATCTGTCAGTATTAAATAACAACTTCCTAATTTTGCTGTGTGAACAATTTACACAAATATCTAAATCAATGACCCCACCTCTTTTAGTACAATGAAAGTAAACTATCATTTGAATAAAATGTGACTCATGATGACAATGTGCACAAGTTTTCTTGGAAGCAACATATAGATTGCCACTTAATTTTTTTTTCAAAAAAAGGTTTACTTTTCCCCCCCAGTCTAGCCTGCAAATCTGTTTTTTCAGGTACCCAAGTACTAGACCGGTCCCATTTTACTTAGTTTATTCCCATTTTTATTTCAGAGTTCAAGGTATATACATGGAGGTTTTCTTTTATTTTATCCTTTCAACAACGGTCTTGTTAGATTGAGAAAAAATGATCAGTTTTTCTAAATAATTTTAATCCTTGGTAAGATCTTGAAGGTTTATAGTATTTAGATTATACTTTGCATGTATTCATTTGATTTACAGTATATACTAACTTTTATTCTAAGAGCTCAAAACAGCTTCCCAACAACAACAACTCTGTAAGTTACATTGGACTGAGAAAGCATGAGCAAGCTGAAAGTGGACCTAAACCTGGATGTCCCCAGATTTAAACCTACATCTTAACTATAATATAGAAATCTATACTGTGGTGACCACCTAAGACCATCTCTAAAAGGCCCCATAAAACTGGACTGGTTATAATAGAGGTGTCAAACTTGCAACGTCACGTGACGTGTTGCGACATATCACAACTTTTTTCCCATTGCCGGCAATGGAGTGGGCGCGGTTTCGCTATGATGCATCCAACCCGCGGGCCGGCAGTTTGATACCCCTGGGTTATAAGAACAAATAGGTTCATATGACTCATTTTAAATATTTGAAATTACTTTGCTGAACTTCAAGGTTACAGCTCTTTTCTTCTTACAATATGTATTAAAAAGTTATGTGAATTTCAAAAGAACATAAAAGCTTTATTCAAATACAGTGTTCTTGAAAAGCACTCAGCGGAAACGCCTTAATCTTCTTAACTGACACAGAGTTCATTAAATACCAGAGGTGTCTAAGTATCTATACTATTGACATTTTGATGTGTGTATTAGTATTAATTTAAATGTTTTATATTTCAGTGAACTGATTAATTACAGAATTACGGGTGATGGCTTTTCAAAGTTTAAATAAACAGGGTTAACCCCACTGCTTTAAAGTGCAAATCAGAGCAATTAGGTTTTTAAAAGGCAGTAGGAACACATTTTGAATGAAAAAAAAAACCCCGAAATTTTTATATTGTGTAATGCAAAATTAAATAACTCTCAAGATAAGGATAAATGAACACTAAAGCTATCTGCACTTCCCTGAGAGATTCAGGAAACAGTATGCCAAAGCAGTGATTGGAGCACCTTTCAGCACTGATATGTTCACAGTTCAGTGGCTTACTCCCTGCTGTCAGTCAAGACTCCATTAAAATAAATAACCACCTGATAATAAGGCAGGACAATTGCCTGCCTGGAGCCAATTTAAATTGAAAGTGATATTCTGAACCCTAAACTATTAGGTCATCTTATGAAGATATTTTTAAAAGTCCATAATGGACTCCTTTTATTCCAAGCACTTTGCTTCCAAATAATGCATAAACTTGATGCTGGTTTATAAGTAAATGTGGCCTGAGAAAAAATAAATCATACTTTGCCCCATTTTGGGAGAGCAACAAATTAAGATTCAAACCTAACTAGAAAGATAATGTTTTCTCATTCTTTCTTCACCCACAAAGGAAAACTATTATCTATTGCTGATTTCCAATCTAAGACGTTACGATCATATAATAATAATAATAATAATAATAATAATAATAATAATAATAATAATAATAATAATAATAATAATTAAAAAAAAAAGTTGGAAGGGACCATAGAGGTCATCTAGTCCAACCCCTTGCTCAGGCAGGAAATCTACCATTTCAGACAAATGGCTATCTAGTCTCTTCTTAAAAACTTCCAGTGTTGGAGCATTCACCGCTTCTGGAGGCACTGATAATAATCCACTGATTAATTGTGCTAACTGTCAGAAAATTTCTCCTTAGTTCTAGGTTGTTTCTCTTTTTAGTTAGTTTCCAGCCATTGTTTCTTGTCCTGCCTTCAGGTGCTTTGGAGAATAGCTTGACTCCCTCTTCTTTGTGGCAACCCCTGAGATATTGGAACACTGCTATCATGTCACCTCTCGTCCTTCTCTTCATTAGACTACTAGACCAGGGGTGTCAAACTGCCGGCCCGCGGGCCAGACGCGTCACGTGGAAGCCACGCCCACCCCATTGCCGGCAATGGCAAAACAGTGCCGATACGTTGCGTAAACGTGACCTCGCAAGTTTGACATGTCTGGACTAGACATACCCAAATCCAGCAACCGTTCCTTATATGTTTTAACTTCTAATCCTCTGATCATCTTTATTGCTCTTCTCTGTACTCTTTCTAGAGTCTCAACATCTTTTTTACATCGTGGTGACCAAATCTGATTGTAGCCACTGTCATTCGGAACCCAACACTTCTGTCCCTTTAAAATGTGACTGAACAATGTTTTAAAATGAAAAGGTCTATTATATTCACTTTGAAGGACAGGACAAGACAAGGAGTTGAAGCTGGTCAGCAGGAATTTTTGATTCTATAGCCAAAGACAGACATTTTATAAACAAGGGACAAAAAACAGAAACAAGGCTTGGAAATGAGTAACCAAATGGTTGTTGATTCAAAAAGGAAAATTGGCAAGATTCACACCTTAGGATTTGCAATATATAAAGGGTTGCAATGGAATGTGAGAATGACTTTGGAAGAGGGGGGGAAGGTGGGAGAGATGGTGCCTAAGGAACAATCAGATAAAAGGGGGAGGAGCCTACTACTAGGTAAGGTGCAGAGAAAGAAATTTAGATTCACCCAAATTATTTAGGCAATAAAAAGAGATGACGGGAGAGTTATGCTTTCAAACTTGCAAGATTCTGTTACTGTAGTCTTACAATAAAGTAGACTTCACTCATCTTTTTTTTCCCTGTTTGGTCTATCTGGGAGGTTGACAAGGCAGAATTCCTGGGTCTGGTTAGACAGCAAATTACCTGAATATATGGCTTCCTAATTCTCTGCAATAAATCTACTTACATAACATTTTAAGTCTGCTTTCTAATGTGGAGCAGGGAGGGAGCCTAACTGTCATTCCTGCTATGAAGCCTTGCAGTATGTTTTGCCTCTCTGGCCCCTGACTAGAGAAGGACAGTCTGACTCCACCCCAGAGATTAAGAAATGACTGCAGAATTTCTTGCAAACCTACAGACTATTATTTAATTATCAGTGGCCTTATTCCAGTATGAGAATGAAGTTGCAGTGCAAATGGACCA